TGTTTTTATTTCAGAAGAAAAAGGTAGCCGAGGTAGCCGACAGCGGTCCAGAGGGGGCAGCTCGTGGAAGAGCACCGGGACTAAGGGGAACAGAGACGGAAGCCAGTGAGGGAGCAACCGGAAACGCATTTGGCAACGCAGTATGGCCGGCCGGTGGCTACAGGGCTGGTTGCAGGGGAGATTAGCGGCCTCAATCCCTTCCTGAAGGCACGACCGGGAGCATTGCTGAAGGGACGGGAAGGAGTTGAGGAACATACCTTTCTCTTCCAAAACGTGCAAGGCGCGCAGCCCATGAGTATTGTGTAAGAAGGCGAGCGTCGTTGCGGTCGTGGTCGGGGTTGTGGCTGTGGTGGGACCGCTCAACGAAGGCACCTCGCAGGCCAGCAGGAGCAGCACTCTGAGGGCCAGCAGGAGCAGCACTCAAGAGACCCGCAAGAGCAGCGTCAGCAGGACCGACGTCAGAGGCGGTAGCCAGGTGATCTGCAGAAGCAGGGGTTCGAAAGACAAGAGGACAGGTGTGATAGGGGGCCGAAGGAGCACAGGCGGTGAGGTCCTGCCCCACGTTGGGGAGCCAGGGGCCTGCCAGCTAACATTACAACGGGAAGCTGCTGGTACGGTGGCCACCCACTCAGGATGCGGCTCACTTGAAGCATGGGGGGATGAAATCATGGTGGAGGCCCACCAGGGGCCACAACATCGGCAGCAGGAGTGGTATCTATCACGACAGCAGGAGCAGCTAGGTGAGGTTTAGCGGGGCTTGCAGCCAGGGGAGCAGCAGGAACTGCAGCTAGGGGAGCAACAAGAGCTGCAGATAGGGGAGCAGCATGCACTGCAGCTAGGGGAGCAGCATGAACTGCAGCTAGGGGAGCAGCATGAACTGCAGCTAGGGGACTGGCAAGAACTGCAGTTAGGGGAGCAGTAGGATCTGCAGCTAGGGGAGCAGCTGGATTTGCAGCTAGAGGAGCGGCAGGAACTGCGGCTAGGGGAGCAGTAGGGACTGCGGCTTGAGGAGCGGCAGGAACTGCAGCCAGGGGAGCAGCGGGGGCAGCAGCTGGGGGAGCAGTGGGGGCAGTACTTGGGGGAGGAGAAGGGGCAGCACTTGGGCACCTGGGTGGATCAGGCACGGGGTGACGAAGTCATAGGTGAAGCGAGCCCGCCTCGAGTGGAGCAGCAGGAAATGGAGACGGATTTGGTGCATGTGGCCCAGCTTTCAGACCACAGAGGGGACCTTCGAAAGGATCTTGCGGGTCCTCCTGGGGAGTTGTTCGCGGGGAAAAACTGTGGACAGCGGGTAGGGGAAACTGGTCAGAAAGGACAGTGGCTTTGTGATCCAGATGCACGGGCGCAGGGGCCCGTGGACGACCAACTGCCACGAGGCAAGGGCAGGAGGCGACGCGGAATTCAAGGCAGGCGCCGACTGGGCAATCAGCAGGGTCAGCCAGCAAGGGTGCGGAAGGGGGAGCAGCACAGGCAGCAGCCGGGGGTGGAGCAGGGGCTGAAGCCAGGCATGCAGCAGGAGGGGCAGCCAGCGGAGCAGCTGGGAAATTGGCCGGGGGGCAGCAGGGGCAGTAGCCGGGGGAGCAGCAGGGGCAGCGGCTGGGGGAGCAGCTGGGGCAGCAGCCAGGGGAGCAGCAGCCGGGGGAGCAGCAGGGGCAGCAGCCGGTGGACCAGCAGGGGCAGCACCTGGGGGAGCAGCAGGGGCAGCAGCCAGGGGAGCAGCACGGGCAGCAGCCGGGGGAGCAGTAGGGGCAGCAGCATGGGGAGCGGCAGGGACAGCAGCCGGGGGAGTGGCAGGGGCAGCAACTAGGGGAGTGGCAGGGCCAGCACCCGGGGGAGCAGCAGGGGCTGCAATTGGGGGGGCAGCAGGGGCTGCAGCCATGCATGCAGCGGGAGCAACAGCCGGGGGAGTACCAGGGACAGCGGCTCGGGGAACAGCAGGCACAACAACCAGGGGGCCAGCGAGGCCAACACCCTGGGGACCCACCAACAGAAAAGGCATGGTGTCCAAAACCTGCAACGGAGAAGGCAAGAAACTCAACTAGGAGGCCAGCTTCAGCAGCGACCAGGAGAGCAGTGGGAACAACTGTCAGGAAGGCAGCAACGGCGGCAGCAACAGCAGCAGCGGCATCTCCTGCTTATCCTTTCAGAAAACCTCATGCAGCTGGCTGCCAAGATAGCAGCTTCGCTTGACAATACTCTACTCCCTCCTGCCTGTGTCCCATGCGAGTTCTGTTTCCACACTTTTCCGCCTGGTGGTGCGGCCTCCCGCCACATTGCTGTTTGTAAGGAACTAAGGGTCTGAGCTCCACCAGCGACGAGCTCAGGCCCTTAGTTCCTCCCCGAACCTGAGTGAGGTCTTCGGGGCAGATCCTGTGCTTCCGCGGGATATCGGCGAGGAGGTGTGGGCGGCGGTGCCTTCTTGGGACTGGGAGACTTTCTTTAGTCTTCATACTGTGTCGGGCGAGCTTCTTCTTCGGGTCCCGCAGCAGGCGCAACTTGGTGTGCACAATGCGTTGTGTTGCATTCTCAAGCGATTGAAAGCTTTCCCTAGGGATGAGGCACCAACGCTGATGTTCCTGGCCTTCCCGCGCCTCATCTTGGGCATACCGGCAAAGGAGAGTGTTGGACGAAGGGCAGCCATAGTTGAGCGTCTCGGAAATTTCTGGGGAGGGGAGTGGCGACACCTGTTCGATGTCGCCTTTGCCGCGTTAACCCCTGCGGCGCGACCTCTTGCCTTCTCCTTATCTAAACGAGGCGCGAATGCCATCCGTTTGGCCCGATGTCGCACGAGGTGCCAGCTGGGGGAATGGAGTCGAGGACTGGCTTGCCTTTACTACGAGCGACTTGGCACAGCCCTCTGAGCTTTTAGTGGACCTGCTAAAAGCAAAGCACCCTGCCAGTGAGGTGGCAGTTCCTGAGTGGGTGGAGCACTTTCGCATCGACGATTCCCGACTCCCCCACCTAACTGAAGACATCCTCAAGCATGCTATTAATTCGGCAGCGCGAGCCTTGACACCAGGCCCTTCGAGATGGATAACATAGCATCTCAGAGACACCTTCCTTTCGGAACCTTCCTATCTCCCACATTTGCTGGAGGTGTTCAGGCAGTGGATTCCGGGATGCGTTTCTGAGTGGGTGCGGCCATGGCTTGCAGCCTCGAACCTGGTTGGGTTATCCAAGCCAAACGAGGATGTCCGCCCAGCGGCTATCGGAGAGGTGCTCCCTCGGATTCTGGCGTATGCGTTATGCGTTCTTCTCCGTCCCGAGATGGAGACCTACTTCGCTCGTTGTAACCAACTGGGGGTGGGGACTAGGTCAGGGGTGAAAAAATTGGCGCATGCTTTCCGCTCGGCAGTTGCGATTCATCAGACGTGGTGCGCGCTGCAAATCGATGTAGCAAATGCCTTTAACTCGTTCCATGGACACGCGATGTTCGACGGCCTCTGTGACTCCTCTTTGCCAACCTTATCCCTTTCTTATGTGTCTTCTATGGGGTGCCCAGCGGTCTGTACCTTCGCACAGGCCCCTTTGTCCAGATGCTGGCATCTGAGAGAGGCTCGCGGTACGGAGACCCATTTAGTCCCTTCCTTTTCGCCTTTACGCAGCAGCTGGTTATGGCGCCAACAATGAAGGATCTCCCTGATCTTCTTTTCCTGAGCTACACGGATGACACCTACGTTCTTGGCCCACGGGAGCGGGTGTTGGCGGCGTATGACGTCTTGCGGGAGCGACTGGAATGGGTGGGCTTGGAGGTGCAATCGCACAAGTGCAAGATGTGGGAAAGGGGAGAGGCGGTAGTCTTGGGGGATATTTCTTTGGGAATGCAGCAGTCATGTACTGGGTTAACTGTGGTGGGAGTTCCTATAGGAGAGGAGGATTGGAGGTGGCACGCTTGAGGGAGAGACTTTCGCAGCTGCAATCACCACTGCCTTGGCTTCCTATTTTGAACCACCTCGAGATTGCCTCCCGCCTGTTGGCTGTTGCCGTGTCTGCATGCCCGCTCTTCTTGACTCGCACTGTTCCCCCTCGTCCTGAGGTCATTGACACTTTCAGAGATTGGGATGGAGCTCTGGAGGAGTGTTTTGAGCAGCTTTTCCTGCTTGACACTTGGAATTTCAGCCCTGACAGATTGCGTGTGGCTCACTTGCAGTTGCACCTCCTGGCTTGTTTGGGTGGGTTTGGCATTCGTTCAGCAGAGGGCACAGGCTCGGGTGATAATTTTGCGAGCGGCATACACGTTGGGTGAGTCCGAGGGGGAGTGGGTAGAGCGAGGGGGTGAGGAATAGGAGTTCGGGGAGGGAGCACCATGGGTGGACGTGCCATACTTGTTCGGCATGCAACTGTAAATGTCTTAGGAAGCAACACTTTGTTTGGGGGTTTTGGTCTATGTATTTTTAGGTTCGAGATACTAAAACATTCCTAGGAAGGGTTTTACTAGAGCCTTCCTACACTTCGTTGTTTGTATTGTACGTTATGTTGTTCAAAATCAACCTAAGGGCACATTCCGCTCAGGACATGTACCTTAAGAAAGTGTCGCAATCGATTGTTACGCGTACTTACAGCATATGCTACCATGTGTCCGAATTCCGGACCGCGCAGCAAAGTCGCAAAACGTTATTTCGATTAGCTGGCGTGAACCACGGAACTGTCGCGGGCTAATTGAACGCCAGAGCGATAAGGACCTGCCATCGCACGCGGTTCCAAATGTCTATCCCCTCTGCATGTACCTGGTCATGATTTTACTGTTCGTATTTTCCCATCCAACACGTACACTGAAGCGTGATTGGTCAATCAGGGCTCCCTCGCACTTATTGACAGTCACGCACATGTCCCGCCCACATATCTCCCACCGTGACCCAATACACTTTCCCCAACCTTTCCTTCTCTTCCGCCACCATCACGGACCCCGTGATGTCCCACTTCTCTCCTGTTTCAAACCTCCATCCTTTCAATTTGTCATTATGCTTCTCATCTAGATCTAGAAATCAACTCCCGTCGCCATGCCTAGGAAGCATAAGGGCCAGGCCCGAGACGACTGCCCCAAAGACCTCAACGAAATCCCATATATCCGATGGATGAACGTGCAGATCGCTAACGGCCGTCATCCCACCGGTTTATCAGCCCCGAGACCGCTAGACGGGCAGGGTTCTAGTGTACAGTCGCCCCGCGCAGGGTCGTCGCGCGTGCGCCGTCAGCCTACTAGGACCGCCGCCCCGGTTCGGCCCGTCGCGGAGCCGGATGAAGACGAGTCCGACTCCGAGTACCGCGGCGATGCCGTCGGCAGTGACGACAAGGACAACGAGCCGGAAGACCTCGAAATGTCAGATGACGAAGAAGGCGACGATGTCGCGGAAGAGGAAGTGCAACCCATGACACCGCCGGCGAAATGGAACGCCAATCGCGTATCTGGCGCTGACAAGCGGAAGGGCAAAGCGACTGTCGAAGAACCCCGACATGAGCCTCGAAAGAAGCGGGCTACTGCACCACGCGAGAAGAGTATGTGGTCGGACCGCGAGAGCACCATCTTCGTAGCCGCCCGGTGGTTCGCTAAAGACGAGTTTCAGTTGCTCAAGGGGAAGCAGGGCACGCAATATTGGGCGCGCCTTCTCGCGCATATCAAGGAGTCGAATCCGGATTGGATCCGGGGGGTCAACGCGTTGCAGAAGCAGTGGCGAAACTTGATGCTACTTTGGAAGGAGTACAAGCGGGGCGATATGGGGCCGGGAAATGGCTCCGTGGAGAAACCTCCGTGGTGGCCGTACAAGGAGCTTTACAACAAGGACACCGCTGCTGCCGACCCGCATGCGGTAGACGGCGGTGGCGCAACAAATGTCAACGTGCCGGTCGGCATGGAGATTCCGACCTCCTCTCAGCCCGGCACTTCAACGCCGACATTTACAGGTGACGTCATTTTACCCACGTTAACATATATTACGTAAATGATGCTCTCTCGTTTTGTCGCGGCGGATTGGGATATGCACTACAACCTTATATGTTTACCACATTGCATGTCTACATTGTTTCATACACTCTCTTTTCTACCCTGTTACAGCACCGCCGGCGCAAACCACTCCTACAACTAAGCGCGCTCTTGTCCATGAGACGGCGACCATGCAAGCCGCAATGCTAGTCTCCGCAACCATCAAAGACTGCCACGGAGACGCAATGAATCGGATTGAGGGACTCGTGCGCGAATGGATGCAGCAGGATTTGCGCCTTGCCCGCGAGCGCATGTCGGATTCAGCACCTCCTCACGTGCAGCGTGGAATGGTCAACGACAGCCCACCTCCGCCTCGCGCTGCATCTGCACCTCCTCCCGATCGCCGCGCGCCAGACCCTGACGGTGAAGATGCGGGCCCGTTCCGCGACGATGGTGGCGACGCCAACACCGTCACTCCTGGTGATGACGATGTGGAGATATGGGTGCGCGGCGCCGACGATTGACGTAAGACTCCAGTAGCGCCTCACCTAACCTTTTCCGCCGTTCCCTCAGTGCCGGCTACGTGCATGGAATGCATGGTTCCCACTTATGTTCAGAAATGACTCCCCTAGTCCACCATGGATCCCGGTTGCATGGCAGATTGAACTATGCCATGTTTGTACGCCTTACACCTGCCATGTTCTCGCACATGTTGTGCAGGATGACGCAACAGGCGGAGCCAGCGAGAACTCGCCATAACTTGCAATCGTTGCGCCTGGCGAATAGGCGTCATCGACCTTTGAAGGCTCCGATGCACCGTTCTACAGCAATGCGGGCAGCGCTCTGGCAGTAGTTGAAACACTGGGCCCAGTCTTCCATTAGATCTTCTCCGCGCGGGGCATGCAAGGGGGTTAGGCAGTAATCTCTGAGGGGGTATGCCGCATCCCCAACAATTTGGCACGGGACTATGTCCCCTCGTTGTAACCGTTCCAGTAGTGCACTGTTTTTGAACTCACGCTGGTCGTGAGCACTGTCGGGATACCCAATGAGATAGTCCCAGATTATGCCCCAAGCATCACACGTGATCTGCAGCTGCACATCATATGCAGACTTACTTGTCCAATATTCTGTCCGGTGCCCCTCCATCCCCTTCATGTGGATGTGAGTCCCGTCTATAGCTCCCACAACTGCAGGTACCCCTTTTATGGCTTTGAACTCTCGTGCCATCCCCAGGAGTTCATCACGGGTCGGGAAGCGCACCCAGGTGGCCTTGAATACGGCCGGGAACTCAAGGAGGAAGATGTCGACAAGCTCATGGCAGAGGGTTTTTGAGACACCAAACATGTATGACATGTCGACGTAGGAGATTCCACTCGCCAAATATTTGATCGCAACGAGTAGCGCGATTTCCATCGTTATTCTTGTTTGCTCGACAACCGGTTCTATGCAGTGGCGCATGCCTGTCTTTATGTGATCAATGATGGCTCTGCTGATTCGGAAGATATCCTGAAAGTCGTTCTCGTGCATATGTTCCAGGTCTTCTACCCACAGGGCAAAGCGTTGCCGCCGTACTCAGGCACGGTGACGTCGGTTATCCCCGGTGTCATCCCCAAGTGATGAGGCCGACTCGTCGTGGTCTTCGATGACTCCAGCCTCAATCATGCCGACAAACGACTTTGCCACAGTTTCGTAAAAAAATGTGTAGTAGTAGGTGACCCAGGCGACGAGAAGTCGTAGGAGAAAGGGGATGGCCCTTGGCTCGGCCATATTGCTAGGAATGATCGTGTGTGAACTACTACGGTGTCTGTGGTGGTTTATGATTATGCTAGTAGATGTTGTGTTTCCATCTGTCCGCGACTTCCGCTTTCCCTGGTGGATTTTGAGGGGCTTGCTGTGTTGGTGCGGCTGATCGTCACAATGAGTGGTCCACTCACGCGAAGGGCCAATCACAGCCATTCTCGTATAATTGTCATGTGCTACTGCAGAGTCGCAGTACATCGATCCTTTGTGACATCAGGTTCAGAGACATTTGAGCACGACTCGGCCAAAATGTGTTTGCGACACTTTCTTAAGGGACATGTCCTGAGCGGAATGTACCCTAAGTATTTAGCCCATAGAATGTCTCTGCAATTTTGTGCAGAAATTATGTATTTAACAGTTAGTGAGACTTTAGAAAACACTTTATGCAGCCTTCAGGCAAAACCAGTATGGCAGTAACGTTCAGCGCCACTTGCTGACTCTGCCAGTAGGTGGCCTGCGGCCACTGGCGCCGTACCGGGCCGCCCTATCCAGATGCCGCCAGAAACACACATCCCCCCACCTCACCCGCTCCCGTGCTTCTGCCATGCGTGTACAGACAGATTAAGTACAGTGCAGTGTGCTTCGTTCGTTACAGATGTAGTGTATCTTACCTCCGATGCGGGGAGTATTACAGTAGTGTAACGTACCAGACCGTACGCGGGGACTGGGTTGTTGAGCGATGAGACTGTGGAGTGCCTGGTGGGTAAGTGGCAGAAACGGGGAGCAGGCTCTGAACTTCCGCTGGAGGAATTCGGCCCTGTCTGCTCACAGGGCACTCTAGGCCTAGTCAGCCCGCCGTTTCATTTTCACACACTGGCGATGCGCATGGGGAGGAACAGGCTGTTTTAGTAGCAGGAGTCTTCGGAAGCGACGAGGCCCTTAGAGGAGCTCATTTTCGAACGGAATTGTAGCGAGCGCCGACCGGCACTGCGTGTGGCTCCTCGTGACACACCGCCTGACGCGCTGAAGCTGTTGATTTCCTTCCTGGACTCTTGCCAAAGCCGCGCATTTCCCGCGCCGCCACGATGTCTTCATACCGCGCCGTCGATTCGCCGCCTCGCCATCCGACAATTCCCGCCTTTTCCTGCCGCCAGAGCCATTCGGCCGCCCGCGTACCCGCCGCGCGCTCCCCCTCCGCTCATTCACCGTCCGCGCGCTCCTCCCGCCGTGGCCGCGGCGGGCCTTCCGTCCTTCCTCGCGGCGCAGCATGGCTGGCGGCTGTCGCAGTCGCAGTCACCGTCGTCACAATGGCGTCGCCTGCGACTGCTGGGCGACCCAACGTGCTGGATAACTTCCAACCACCCTGCCCCACCCTCGCCGAACCTACCAGTGCGCCTCCCCCTCCCCCTGCCCTTCTTCCTTCACTTCCTTCCCCTTCCCCTCTCCCCTCCCCTCCTTCAGCTCCCCTTCCCTCTCCGTTTCCCCTCTCCCTGCCCTCCCTTCTCTCTCCCCCTCCCCCTTCCACCATCTCTACCCCTTCCCCCCCCCCGTTACCCCTCCCTTGTCCCTTCTCCATCGCGCTCCCTTTCCTGCTATTCCCTCCACCCCCCAACCTTCCAATTCCCCACCTCCCTCCATTCCCGCCCTCCCCTTCCCCCCTTCCCCCCCTCCTCTCACCCCCTTTCCCCTCCCAGCGTACAAGAAGTGGAGCGACCCGGCCACGTGGGCAGGCGGGTCCATCCCGGGCCAAGGCGACGCCATCGGCGCCAATGTCACCATCGCGTGCGGGGAGGCCATTCTCCTCGACACCTCCCCCATCACCCTCACTCTCCTCAACATCCGCGGCTTCCTGCGCGTGCTCGACTCCCCCGCGCTCCCGAAGATCAACCTGTCCGCAGCGTTCATAGTGGTGCAGGGGAACTTCTCCGTTGGCACGCCGCAGCAGCACTACAGGCAGAGGATCAAGATCACGCTCACGCCCAATCCGAATAACCGCGCGGACTATCTGTTCACGGAGAACCTTCCGGCTGAGCCCGCGTTTCCGCGGAACCTTGGACACAAGGCGTTTGCAGTGGTGAGTGTGAATGAGTGAGTGAGTGGCGTTCCGTTGTCGACTGGTTGTCCTCCTCATTCTCCCCGAGGTCGCCTCTCAACTGTGTGGACTATCTGTTCACTGAGAACCTTCCGGCGGAGCCTGCGTTTCCGCGGAATCTCGGCCACACGGCGTTTGCCGTGGTGAGTGGTGCTTCTCCCCCGCTCTCGCCTCCTCTGTTCCGCTTCCCTCCTTCCTTCCTCCTCCCCCTCCTCGCCCCTCCCCATACTCCCCCTCTCCCCTCCCCCCTCCCCCCTCCCCCCTTCCCCCCTTCTCCCCCTCCTCCCTCCCTCCTCCCCCCTACCCCCTCCTCCCTCCCCCCTCCCCCCTCCCCTCTCCCCTCTCCCCCCTCCCCCTCCCCCCCCCCTCCCCCTCCCCACTCCCCCCCTCCCCCCCTCCCCACTCCTCCTCCCCACAACCCCCTCTCTTCTCGACGGTCCATCTGTGTTTTCTAGGTGAGCAGTCGGGTAATTCTCTAATTCTTGATTGATATGTATCTGCATCTTTCTTTGTCCCTCTCTTACATTACGATTGTTTGCCACTCTTTTCTCTGTTTTTGTCAGGTGGGCGGCCAGGTGGATTTCCACGGCATGCCAGGTGGCAGCAGCACGCCCTCGTGGACGAAGCTGACGTCGACAGCTCAGCAGAACGACCTGGTGATTACAGTGCAGGATGACGTCAGTGCGTGGCCTCTGGACGCCTTCGTTGTTGTCACATCCACCGACTACTTCCCCGACCAGGCCGAGGTCGTGGGGATCATTGATGGTACGCCGGGATCGACTGGTGAATAGTCCTATCGGGCAGCGTGGGCGAGGCGTATGTGGGACTTGCGGGGCGGGGCATATGTGGCAGTGCGTGTGGGGGATCTCCCCGGTGTCACATTCCGACTACTTCCCGACCAGGCCGAGGTCGTGGGGATCATCGATGGTACGTTGGGGGAAAAGAAACCACTCGGAACCACTGGGAACCACTGGGAACCACTTTGGAGACCCCAAGAGAGTGCCAGGCAGACTCATTGGTTCACCACGCATTCGCCACCACCTGCTTTCCCCACCTCCCCCCTACCCTTTCCTGCCCTCCCGTGGCGGTTCAAAGATATTTTCGAATAGCCTGATGCACTTCTGAGGTCCCAACCCAAGGGCGAGTTTGGATGGACCAGCCCCGCTCATCATGCTCAGTGCTCGCCATCCGAACTCCGCCCTCCATTCCCTTCCTCCCTCCGCCTCTCTCCCCCCGCTTCCAGTAGTGACCCTCACATCCGGCGGCTCGAAAATCTTCCTCGAAAAGCTGCTCCGCCTGATGCATTTCGGAGATCCCAAGGGCGTGCCGGACGGCTTCGGGGGCTTCGTGGACCAGCGGGCGGAAGTGGCCCTCCTCAACCGCTCCATCGCCATCACACCGCCTCTGGATTCTCTGCCACCCTTCAACCCTCTCTCACTCACTCTCTCCCTCCGCCCCCCCTGCCTCCCTTCCTTCAGTGGTGGCCCTCCCTTCGGGTGGCTCGAAAATCTTCCTGGAAAAGCCGCTCCGCCTGATGCATTTCGGAGATCCCAAGGGCGTGCCAGACGGCTTCGGGGGTTTCGTGGACCAGCGGGCGGAAGTGGCCCTCCTCAACCGCTCCATCGCCATCACACCGCCTCTGGATTCTCTGCCACCCTTCAACCCTTTCTCTCTCACTCTCTCCCTCCCCCCCCCCCCCTGCCTCCCTTCCTCCAGTGGTGGCTCTCCCTTCGGGCGGCTCGAAAATCTTCCTGGAAAAGCCGCTCCGCCTGATGCATTTCGGAGATCCCAAGGGCGTGCCGGACGGCTACGGGGGCTTCGTGGACCAACGGGCGGAAGTGGCCCTCCTGAACCGCACCATCGCCATCACGGGAACAGACGAGCCGGCGCCGTACCACCGGGAGGGCGGGCACTTCATGATCTTCATGAGCAGCACGCCACAGTTCATAGAAGGGGTGGAGTTTGCTCAGATGGGGCAGCAGGGCAAGCTGGGGCGGTATAACATTCACTTTCATGTGTGCGGGGATGACGGGGGGCGCAGCGTGGTGCGGAAGAACGTGATGCATGACAGCAAGCAGGTGAGGGCGGGGTGGTGGTGGGGAGTGGGTGGGGGAGGGATGGGAGCAAGCAGGGGAAGGTGGGAAGAAAGAAGGTGAAGCTGGGGCAATATGCGGGGATGACCAGGGTGGAGTGTGGTGCGGACGAACGTGATGCATGAGAGCAAGCAGGTGAGGGGGGGTTGATGGTGGTGCGAAGCAGGTGAGGATTGAGATGAGAGCAAGTATGTGAGGGATGGCGGAAACAAAACAGCACTTTTCATTTCCCGCCCCCACCACCACCTAGCCTTGATGGCGCTGCCTTGATTCTTCCTTTCGCCCACGTCCTCCCTTCATCACCAGCGCTGTGTGGTGATGCACACGATCTTCAACCTCACAGTCGAAGAGAACATGGCGTACCACACGAGTCACCAAGATCCCTTCTTTTCCCTCACTGTTTGTTTGCTCCTTTATGTTCCCTTTGCGTCCCCGTTCCCCCAGCGCTGTGTGGTGGTGCACACGACCTTCAATCTGACTGTCGAGGAGAACGTGGCGTACCACACGAGGGGGCACTGCTTCATGGTGGAGGAGGGCGGCGAGACCGACAACACCTTCCTGCGCAACCTCGGCATCTGGACTCGTGCAGGTGCGGTTAATCTGGACAAGAGCAGGTGCGGTTAATCTGGACAAGAGCAGGTGCGGTTAATCTGGACAGAAAAAGGTGGGGTGGAGGAGAGGCCATGATTGCAGGGCAGGGCGGAGTGTGAGCCACAAAGCCAGGGGGGTCCTGGGCAGGGGGGCGAGAGCGACAACACCTTCCTGTGCAACCTCGGCATCTGGACGCTCGCAGGTGTGGTTAATCTGGACGCTCGCAGGTGTGGTTAATCTGGACAAGAGCAGGTGCGGTGTTTCCGGACACGAGATGGTGGTTCAGGCAAGCGCTGTTCCGATGCAACGACCCTTCAATTAACCATCGGAACAAAGGATGGGCCTTCTGCACCCATACCTTGCTGCACTTCTCTCTTCCTTCTTCCTCCTCCTCTCCTCTCCTCTCCTCTCCTCTCCCCACCTCCTTCCCGTACCTGCCCCTCTCTCCTGTCCCCCCTAACAGTGGAGTGGAGGTGCAAGCGAATCCCTCTGGCATCCAGCAAAGAAGACGGACGACAACCCGGCCACCTTCTCATGTGCCCATGGAATGTCGTACTCCCTTTCAACACTCTCCCACCATCCCTCCCACCCTATCAGGGAGGTGCTCATCCCGCTCTTATCCAACCCCACCAAGTCAGGTCGGAGCAGGCAGACAACAGGCCGCCACCCACCTTCTCATGTGCACATCGCACATGCTTTCCTATCCTCCTCTCTTGCAATACCCTTCCACAGTGGAGGTGCTCATTCTGCTCTCATCCGATCCCACCAAGACGGAGGAGTCGGACGACAACCCCTCCACCTTCTCATGTGCACATTGCTTGCCTTACTCCCTTTCATCTCTCCCCTTACCCGACCACCCCTCCCCCCCTTTCCTATCAGTGAAGGCGCTCATCCCGCTCTCATCGGTCCACCTTATCGTGCGCCTACCCTTGGCATTTCTCTCCTCTTTTCTTTCCTACCAATGCCCTCAACGATGGAGGTGCTCATCCCGCTGTCAGCAGCCAACCCCACCAGGACAGAGGAGACGGACGACAACCCGGCCATCTTCTCACCTACCCTTCGCCCTCCTTCCTTATTCTTTCTCCCGTTCTTTCCTCTACATTCCCTCCCTCCCACCCTTCCCCCGCAACAGTGGAGGTGCTCATCCCGCTGTCAGCAGCCGACCCCACCAAGACGGAGGAGACGGACGACGCCCCGTCCACGTTTTGGATCACCAACCCCAACAACAACTTCATTGGGAACGTCGCCGCTGGCTCTGAAAACTCGGGGTGGGTTGTGAGTGAGATGGGTGGGTGGGGTGGTTGTGAGTCCGTGCAAGTGTGACTGTGAGAGCAAGTGAGTGATGGCAGACAGGCAGACTGGAGTTTGACGAACCTCACCATCTTCTGGATCACCATGTTCTGGATCACCATGTTCTGGATCACCATGTTCTGGATCACCATGTTCTGGATCACCATGTTCTGGATCACCATGTTCTGGATCGCCATTCACCCCAACAACAGCCCCTTCGGCGGCTATGATGCCGCTGCCTCTGAGAACTCGGGGTGGGGTGGTTGTGAGTCTGTGCAAGTGTGACTGTGAGCGTGGAGGGACGGGAGGGACAGACAGATCAATCGATTGGTACAGATAGGGTAGGGACGGGGAGGCTACAACCTTTCCACCTCGTGCCCTTACAACTTTGCTCCCCTCCCTCCCGCACACAACCCCCCAACCAACCAGTTATTGGATGGAGCTGAGGGACCAAGTGCGCGGATTCACGCCCTCCTACCCCGGGCTCAACGCCACCGTGCCCTCCTTGGCGTTTGCATGTTGCCTTTCTCCCTCCTTTGCTTCATGCACTTTCGCTCTCCTTCCCCCATTAACCAGCTATTGGATGGAGCTGAGGGACCGAGTGCGCGGATTCACACTCTCCTACCCCGGGCTCAACGCCACCGTGCCTGCCAACGGCCCCTTTGGCATCTACCGCGATAACGTGGCTCACAGCAACCGAGGGCCGGGGTGGCGCACGTATCCCAAGGGGGTGCGACCCAGGCAAACTTGGACCCTTGACTCTCAGATCCCCCAGGTGAGAGGGAGGGACTCACATGGGTCAAGTTCAAGGTGACTTCTGGGTCGGCTGAAAATTCAACGCCACCGTGCCGGCCAACGGCCCCTTTGGCATCTACCGTGACAACGTGGCTCACAGCAACCGAGGGCCGGGATGGAGGACGTACCCCAAGGGGGTGTGACCCAGGCAGACTTGGTCGCTGGACTCTCCTATCCCCCAGGTAAGGAATCATAAAGAGCAAGGGAGGAGAGTAAACAGCACGGGATGCACGTGGCCCACAGCAACAGGGGGCCGGGGTGGAGGACTTATCCCAAGGGGGTGCGGCCGCGGCAAACCTGGTCTCTGGACTCTCCTATCCCCCAGGTACGCAGAGAGGGAAGCAGGCAATCAGCAGAGCAGGAGAGCAGCACATGCCCCACCCCACCACAGCAACCGAGGGCCGGGGTGGAGGTCGTACCCCAAGGGGGTGCGACCCTGGCAGACCTGGTCTCTGGATTCGCCTATCCCTCAGGTAGAGATGCATGGCAGGAGAGTGGGCCGTGGAGAATGCATGTGGCCGACAGCAACAGAGGGCCGGGCTGGCGCACCATCAGAGGGTTGACACTCGCCTGCACAATGCATGTGTGTGTGTGTGTGTGTGTGTGTGTGTGTGTGTGTGTGTGTGTGTGTGTGTGTGTGTGTGTGTGTGTGTGTGTGCACAAACCCTCAAACCTCTCACCACCCCACCCCACCTCTCGCCCCAACCGCAGTGGCAGTGGAAGCCATCTACAGGAACCATCAGCGGGCTGCTGCTCTACAAGCAATCCGGGGATGGGTGAGTGGTTTGGAGGGGGAATGAGTGGTTTGGAGGGGGAATGAGTGGTTTGGAGGCGCGGTGAGTGGTTTGGAGGGGCGATGAGTGGTACAAGGGGCAGCTAGCGGGTGCGTGTCTCAGCCCCTGGGACAACTCTAACAGGCCCATGCTTTGTTTCTCTGACCATCCCATGCAGCAATAGCTTCCCTATGGCCATCGTTTCCCTCCAAACCCCCCTCGCCACCCTTTTCCCCCATCTTCCCACTCCCCACCCCTCTCCTCGCCAGCTTCTTCATGCACAACTCAGACGGCGTCATTATCACCAACAGCACGGTCGCTGACAGCCGCCAGGGGCTCAACCTGCTGGGTGACACGGACATGAGTGTCACTGACAGCCGCACTCAGTCCTTCTGAGGATTTAGCCTACAGGGAAACACCGTCTCTTCCCCACTCCCCCACCCCACCCCTTCTCCTCCCCCCCACCCCACACACACCAGTTTCTTCATGCACAATTCAGACGGCGTCATCATCACCAACAGCACGTTCGCTGACAACAGGCAGCAGCTCAGCCTGCTGGGCAACACCTCACCTTAACCCCCACGCCTTCCCTTGCTCCCTTCTCCTCCCACCTTTGCAACCCCCCCATCGGAACCTTCTCCCCCCTCCGGCCCCTTCCCCCCACACCAGTTTGTTCGTGCACAATTCAGACGGGCTCATAATCACCAACAGCACGTTTGCCGACAACCGCCAGGGGCTCAACCTGCTGGGCAACACGGGCGTGAAGGTCACTGACAGCCGGTTCATTGGGGTGACCCCCAACTATGGCAACCCCCGCATGTGTGACTCCACACCTCAGATGTGTGGGCCTGTCACCGGCTGCGAGTGAGTGTTTATTGCAGGAAAGAATGAGGGTAGTGGGAGAGAGATCAAGGAACCAGAGGGAGTGAGGGAGCGGAGGGAGAGATCGAAGGTCACTGAGAGCCGGTTCATTGGGGTTACCCCCAACTATGGCAACCCGTGCATGTGTGACTCGACTCCGCAGATGTGTGGCCCTGTGGCCGGCTGCGAGTGAGTGTTGAGGTGGGGCAGGGGGAGTGAGGGAAGGGAGTGAGAATGACAGACAGCCCCCTTGGTGTTCGTGGGGGTGTCTCCCTACTATGGCAACCCGCGCATGTGCGACTCCACGCCCCAGATGTGTGGCCCTGCGGCCGGCTGCGAGTGAGCATTGCGTGGGAAAAGAGGGAGCGAGGGAGCAGGAGTGAGGGAGGCTTTGTGTCTGGCTGCGAGTGAGTATAGCCTGGGAGGGTGAGTGCCGGTGTGTGTGTTGGCTGTCCCCCAACCAACCAACTATGGCAACCCGCGCATGTGTGACTCCAATCCGCAGATGTGTGGGCCTGTGGCCAGCTGCGAGTGAGTGTTGGGGTGGGGGAGCACAGGGAGAAAGGGGGCTGACTGTGAGTGACTATGAGCTGGTTTAGGGTGTCCCCCAACCAACTATGGCAACCCGCGCATGTGTGACTCCAATCCGCAGATGTGTGGCTCTGTCTCCGGCTGCGAGTGAGTGCTGATGGGGAGCAGAGGGAGTGAGGGAGGAGAAAGTGAGGGATCAGAGGAAGTGAGGGAGCGGAAGGAGTGAGGGAGTTGAGGGAGTGCGGGAGGAGAGGGAGTTAGGGAGCAGAGGGAGTTAGGGAGGAGAGGGGGTGAGGTATCAAAGGGAGTGTGGAGCATCGCGAGTAGATGGCTCAAAGCTCCTGTTCGTGCGTGTCTTTTCCCAGCTCGTAACCCCCACACATGTTCCCCTTGGCTGCCGGGCAGCAGGGCCGGCGGTCGCAGGTGTTGGAGCCACGTCAAGAACCCCGTGTTTGGCATGCCGTCATCACTCTGTGTGCGCGCTGTGCACCTGTGGGCATGTTTTTCCCTCTTGCATTGCAGCTTCCCCCTGGCTGCCGGGCAGCAGGGGCGGCGGTCGCAGGTGTTGGAGCCACGTCAAGAACCCCGTGTTTGGCATGCCGTCATCACTCTGTGTGCGCGCTGTGCACCTGTGGGCATGTTTTTCCCTCTTGCATTGCAGCTTCCCCCTGGCTGCCGGGCAGCAGGGGCGGCGGTCGCAGGTGTTGGAGCCACGTCAAGAACCCCGTGTTTGGCATGCCGTCATCACTCTGTGTGCGCGCTGTGCACCTGTGGGCATGTTTTTCCCTCTTGCATTGCAGCTTCCCCCTGGCTGCTGGGCAACAGGGGCGGTCACAGGGGTGGTCGCACTGGAAGAATCCCATCTTCGGAATCATCATCGACCATCCCACCTTTGGATTCGACTTCGCCCGCGCCCATGCCATCTCCAACTGCCGGTGAGCCGCCTCAAGACCCTGCTCTCTGTCTGTCCACCCACCCGTCCGCTCCTGTCCATCCGTTGTCTCTCTGTCTCACCCAACCTCTTTCCCCAACCTCGTTCCTCGACCTCTTTCCGCACTCCATCTCATCCCTCCCCACTGCACCGCACCCCTTGGAACCTCACACCATGGCGCCCCACTTGACTTCACCGCACTGAACCCCTTTGCAGGTTCCACGCATATGATAGCACATGCCGCCTAGCTGCTGCCATTGGCGCGGGCATCAACGGAGCTCCCAAGGACACATGGGCCACGGCCACCAGTGTGCAGGTGAGTGGGGTGGTTACCACATAGCCCGTGGCTGTTCACTGTCGGGTGAGTGAGGGCCATGCTGTGTGGCATACGACTAGCTGCCGGTACAAGGGCCCTGCCACCTGCCATGGGCATGGGCATCAACGGAGCTCCCAAGGACACATGGGCCACGGCCACCAGTGTGCAGGTGAGATGAGTGTTACTGCTGTCTCGCCGCTGCCTGAGCCTTACTATGTGCCCCTTCACTGGTGGCCGTACTACTGGTAGAGAGATACTTTCTCTGTGCTCTCTGTAACTTCATTCTCCACCTCTACCTACGTTTCTGTTTCCGTCATTTCTCATCTCAATGCCTCTCTCACCCCATGTCAACCCCTGTGCCTGTCCGTCCCTCTCATGGCACCAGTCCCACTGACCTCTTTCTCCTCCTCGACCACATTTTTCCTTCTCCCCTCCATGCCCCCACCCCTCTCATCCCAACCCTCTCATCCCACCTCACTCATCCCACCCCTCTCATCCAATCCTATCCCGTCATGGCAGGCTGTGACAGGCACACCCGGCACCAACATGCTTTACTTTCCTCCTCGCAACTTCACCTTCCCAGTAAGCGCTGCGGCTGCTTTTTTCCCTGAGTGCTGCACAGTCCCTTTCCTTGTGTCTGGCTGCTGCTTGCTGCGTGGGTGCCAAACATACGTCGTACACAGCAGGCTGTGACAGGCACGGCCAGCACCAACATTCTCTTCTTCCCGCCCCGCATGTAAGTAGACGACTTTTGAGACGTCTCAAAAGCCGACACCAACATTCTCTTCTTCCCGCCCCGCAGCTTCACCTTCCCTGTGAGCACTGCTGAAGTGCACACACCCACCCACTGCGTTAATGGAATCAAGTCCTCCGCAGTCCAGCTTCGAGACGTCTCAAGACTCTTCTTCCCGCCCCGCAGCTTCACCTTCCCCCTCCCATTATGTACTGCTGAACCGCTCAACCAACAACTCTGCTCAACCAACAACTCTGCTCAACTCAACTACTGCCTGTCTCTACTGCCTTCCTTTCTTCTTCACTCTCCACCCACCACTCCCTTCCCACCCACTCAGGGCGGGGATGTGAAAACGGGCGGAGAGGCAACAGACCTCTACACCCTGTGGGATCGCCACGGCTCTCTCCTCAACTCCTCCTCCGGAGGCTACCTCCTGACCACCAACACCTCCCTTCTTCCCCCTTGTCACTGCGTCTTACCCGCCACTCCCCAGCCTCACAGGGCGGTGATGTGAACATGGGCGAGGAGGCAACAGACCTGTACACCCTCTGGGACCGCGATGGCTCTCTGCTCAATGCCACTGGGGGGGACTACCTCCTGACCAACAACACCGCTCTGTTGCCCCCTTCCTCTGTGTCTTACCCACCGTTCCCCAATCCCCACCCAGGGAGGAGATGTGAACATGGGAGGAGAGGCAACAGATCTGTACACTCTTTGGGACAAAGACGGCTCTCTGCTCAACGCCACTGCCGGAGGCTACCTGCTGGCCAACAACACCGCCCTGCTGCCACCCACCAATCGCTTCCCTGCTTGCCAGCCCGTGCCCGCTTGGAATGCCTATGCGTGCCCGGGGACGTGCTATCGCACCGTCATGTTCACTTATCTGGAGCCGGAGTTTGCTGTTTATGAGAACAGCAGCGTTCCTGACACACGCAAGCGCGGGGACTTCAGGTAAGAATTAAGGGGGAGAGGGGGGTGAGTGGACAAGCATGCCTGTGCGGGGACCTGCTGCTATCGCATCCCACCGTCATGTTCACTTATCTCGAGCTGAGGTTTGCTGTGTGTGAGAACAGCAGCGTGCCTGACACACGCAAGAGAGGCGACTTCAGGTGAGGCAGGGAGGGGAGGTGGGAGGGGAGAATGAGTGCTTGATATGAAGTGGGAATGAGTGGTGTTGATGGTGGTGTGTGGGGAACAGTAAGTGCTTGTGGTGGCCCTTGGGGTTAGCCCTCTCTTTGCTACCCCCCTCTCCCTACCTCTCCCTGCTACGCCCCCTCTCCCCATCCCAGCTACCTCGCCATTCGGCGCATAGAGGACGACACAGTGATCACAGTGGACGGCAATCTGCGGTCGGTGGGCAACATGTGGGCGGCAGGCCAGCGCATCTTCGTGGTGCCCCTGCTGGCGAACGCCACCTACGAGGTCAACATAGGGTTACCGGGTAACAACCGCGCGTTTTTTCCCAGCAACATCACGGTGCAAGTGCGCGACAGCAACGGGTGTGGCGGGCCGGTCACCCTGCGGGTCCCGGCCAAGCAGAGCAACCAATGGATGATCAACGAGGAGCAAGATGTGAACTGGAAGTGAGTAGTGCTGCTGGTGATGTTGGTGGTGCTGGTGCTGGTGGTGCTGCTGGTGTGTGTTGCTGGTATGATCACGTAAGTGCAGTAGTGGTGGGGCCTGTGACCCTGAGGATCCCGGCCAAGCAACCAGTGGATGATCAATGAGGAGCAAGACGTGAACTGGAAGTGAGTAGTGCTGGGGCTGGTGCTGCTGCTGCTACTGTTTGTTGCTGGTGTGGTCACATAATCTATTAGTGGGCCTTGGGACTCTGAGAATCCCGGCGAAGCAGAGCAACCAGTGGATGATGAACGAGGAGCAAGACGTGAACTGGAAGTGAGTGAGTGAAGGTGCTTCTGCTACAGGTGCTGGTGTTGGTGTTGGTGCTGGTGTTGGTGTTGGTGCTGGTGTTGGTGCTGATGGTGGTTATGGTGCGGTGTAGAACAACAAGCACTGCAGTTCGCCTTGAATTGCTTCCACGAACCACCCCTCCCCCCTTCTCTCTCCTCCCATGGCCTGTTGCGCCTCGTCAAAGAGAGCACAAGTGCAGTTCTCCTTCACGCGCTTCAAGTGCTACATCCCTTTTTTCTCATCTCACCCTCGACCTCCCCTTTTCCCACCCTCTCCACCTGCCTCGTCTCCTCCCTTCCCCACGATCCCCAGGGCCTGCGCTGGCACAGCAGACAAGGCAGCGGTGCAGTTTTCGTGTGCTTCAAGTTCAAGCCCACCCTCGAGCTTCATGTGTTTCATTCGTGTGTTTTCTTTGACGGAACCTCCTCCAGGCCCATCGTGCTTCAAATGCCCACCCGCCCCTCCTTCTCCCTCCCCCAGAGCCTGCGCGGGCACGGCAGACAAAGCGGCAGTGCAGTTTTCATTCGTGTGCTTCAAGTTCAAGCCCACAGTCGAGCTCTTTTTCGACGAAACCTCTTCCAACCAAGCCCACCGTGCTTCAAATGCCCACCCGCCCCTCCTTCTCCCTCCCCCAGAGCCTGCGCCGGCACAGCAGACAAGGCAGCGGTGCAGTTCTCATTCGTGTGCTTCAAGTTCAAGCCAACCCTCGAGCTCTTTTTCGACGGAACCTCCTCCAAGCCAATCGTGCTCCGCGCCTCCGCAAACCCCGTCACCGGCTGCCGCCTCCCCTAGTAAGCGCCTCCCTCAGTAAGCGCCTCCCCCAGTAAGCGCCTCCCCCAGTAAGCGCCTCCCCCAGTAAGCGCCTCCCCCAGTAAGCGCCTCCCCTAGTAAGCGCCCCCCCCCAACACGGCTGCCGCCTCCCCTAGTACATGCCCAGCGTTTATGGTCTGCCTCCCCTAGTAAGTGCCTCCCCTAGCAAGTGTCTCCCCCAATAAGTGCTTCCCCCAATAAGTGCCTCCCCCAATAAGTGCTTCCCCCAATAAGTGCCTCCCCCAATAAGTGCCTCCCCCAGTAAGTGCCTCCCCTAGTTAGCGCCTTCCCCAGTAAGTGCCTCCCCCAGTAAGTGCCTCCCCCAGTAAGTGCCTCCCCTAGTTAGCGCCTTCCCCAGTAAGTGCCTCCCCCAGTAAGTGCCTCCCCCAGTAAGTGCCTCCCTTAGTCAGTGCTTGTACTGAGCACTTCTGTTTCCAGCTCCCCCCCTCCCCCTATCATCACCTCCCTCCCCTCCCCCTATCATCACCTCCCTCTCCTCTCCATCATCGCCTCCCTCTCCCCCCTCACCCACCACCAGTCGTTGCGGCCTTGTGGCACTGGGGTCCACATGGGCGTACAACGTGAGTGCCAGGGAGCTGCATGCAGCGGTGCTTGTACTGAGCAATTTCTGCTGCCATTTCCCCTGATTACCTCCTCCCACCCACCACCAGTCGCTGCGGCCTGGTGGCACCGGGGTCCACGTGGGCATACGATGTCAGTGGCAGGGAGCTGCATGCAGCAATCTCGGGCGCCATGGGCTTCAGCTCTCCGCGCTTCAACGATGCCAGCTGGTCGCGAGGCCCGGCTATCATTGGCTATGTGGGATGTACGTGTGTGGGGGTGCTGGCATGGCTTGTGGTGTGTTGCTGCATGCAGCAATCTCGGGCACCATGGGATTCATCTCAACGCGACGCTTCCTGGCCCCGCGGCCCTGCCATCATAGGCTATGATGACGGCATGTGGGTGAAGGCATGTGGGTGAAGGCATGTGGGTCAGTACAGACAGCATGAGTGGCAGGGAGCTGCATGCGGCAATGACGGGCGCCGTGGGCTTCAGCTCTCCGCACTTCAACAACGCCAGCTGGCCGCGAGGCCCCGCCATCATCGGCTATGTTGGATGTACGTGTGTGTGTGTGTGTGTGTGTGTGTGTGTGTGTGTGTGTGTGTGTGTGCGTGCGTGTGCGTGCGTGCGTGCGTGTGTGCGTGCGTGTGTGTGTGTGTGTGTGTGTGTGTGTGTGTGTGTGTGTGTGTGTGTGTGTGTGTGCTGGCATATGGGTGGCATGGCATGTGAGTGAAGGCATGTGGGAACAGAAACACAGCATGAGTGGCAGGGAGCTGCATGCAGCAGTGACGGGCTTCAGCTCTCCGCGCTTCAACGATGCCTCCTGGCCCAGGGGACCAGCTATCATCGGCTATGCGGGATGTTATGTGTGTGTGTGGGATGGCATGTGGTTGTTGTCAGACTGTGGGACCAGACTCACAACGTGAGTGGCATGGCATCAAGCAGCATGCAGCAGTGACGGGCGCCATGGGCTTCCCTTTTCTGTTGGCACATGCTTCTTCCCCATCCTCCTTTCCTCCCCTCATCCCACCCGTTTCAACCCCCCAGGGCGGTGGGGTGGCATCAACACATGGACGCCCCCTTCAGGAGATGCACTCCCCACCTTCTACTACCGGCGGCCGTTCCGAGTGGCCAACAGCGCGTGTGCCACGGGGCTGTATGTGGATGTGATAGTGAACGATGGCGTACTCCTCTATCTTAACGGGGTGGAGATGCTCCGAGTCAACATGGCTCCCGGTGCCGTCAACGTGTCGTCCAGGGTGAGACTAACAGCAAACGGCAGTGTGCTGAAACTCGAGACAGTGTGCTGCTGTGCGTGCATCCGTGTGTTACGGGGCTGTATGTGGATGTGATAGTGAACGATCGCGTGCAGCTGTACCTCAATGGCGTTGAAATGCTGAGAGCCAACATGGCACCCGGCGCTGTCAATGTGTCCTCTAGGGTGAGACTATAATGAGACAGTGTGGTGGTGAGACTATAATGAGACAGTGTGCTGGTGAGACTATAATGAGACAGTGTGCTGGTGAGACTGTAACAAACAGTGTGCTTGGAGTGAAATGATTACTATACGATGTGATGGGTGAGAAATAGTATGGCGCAGAACGTGTGGGACTACACGTCCTTTTATCATCCTGCTCAACGCCCTTCTCCTTCCCTTCTGTCCCTCATTCTGAACCCCTCCAGGCCCTATCGAACCAGAACGTTTGGAAGTACACGTCATTCTTCATCCCGCTAAACGCCACGGCGCCCTTCCTCTCCTTTTCCCTCCCCTTGCTAATGTGCTTCCTTCCTCAACCCTCCCTTCGTGACTGCCCCTCCCTTCCTCAACCCTCCCTTCGTGACTGCCCCTCCCTTCCTCAACCCTCCCTTCGTGACTGCCCCTCCCTTCCTCAACCCTCCCTTCGTGACTGCCCCTCCCTTCCTCAACCCTCCCTTCGTGACTGCCCCTCCCTTCCTCAACCCTCCCTTCGTGACTGCCCCTCCCTTCCTCAAATCCCTGCAAGCCCTATCGAACCAGAACGTTTGGGACTACACATCTTTCTTCATCCCTCTCAACGCCACATCTCACTCCCCATTTTTTTTTTCTTCCCCTTTCTCATTTGTTTCCTACCTCAACCCCTGCAGGCCCTGTCCAACCAGAACGTGTGGGACTACACGTCCTTCTTCATCCCGCTCAACGCCTCAGCTCCCTTCTCCTTCCCTTCTTCCCTTCATTCCCCCTCTCCTTAATTACACAAGCCCTATCAAACCAGAACGTGTGGGACTACACGTCCTTCTTCATCCCTCTCAGCGCCACAACACCCTTCCGTTCCTTCTCCCTCCCCTTCCTCTCTGTTACCCACCCATTCCTTACCCCTCCAGGCCCTGTCAAACCAGAACGTGTGGGACTACACGTCCTTCTTCATCCCTCTAAATGCCACAGCTCCCTTCTCTCTCGCTGAGGGCACCAACCACATCGCCGCTGAATCACACGCCGCCATCTGGACCACCGAAAACTTCTTTGACCTCAAGCTGTCCGCCCAGATGGAGTGAGTTGTTTGGGCGAGAAGACATTGAGTTGTTGGGTTGGGGGAAACAGTGGTATGGGGGATTGGATTGGAGGACTCAAGATACCCACCGCACTGCAATGTAGTCACACGCCGCCGTCTGGACCACCGAGAGCTTCTTTGACCTCAAGCTGTCCGCTCAGATGGAGTGAGTTCAGCCGCTGGGAGTCAAGGTAAGTGTGGGGGAGTGGATTGGACTGGAGGACTCAAGGCGCCAACCACATCGCAGCTGAGTCACGTCACGTGCCGCCATCTGGACCACTGAGAACTCCTTTTGAGTCGACTCAAAAGCCATGTGGACCACCGAGATGAGAACTTCCTCAAGCTGTCCGCACAAATGGAGTGAGTTGGTGGGCGTTTTGAGTTGCCTCAACAGATAATGTGAGTGGCTGGTTGCTGGCAGAGAGGTTGGTATGGTGGATTGGATCAGAGGACCCAACCACATCGCTGCCGAGTCCCACGCTGCCATCTCAAGCTTCAAGCTATCACCATCTTTGACCTGAGGCTGTCACCATCTCTCTCCACTCTTCTCCTTCCTACCTCGTCTCCTCATTCTTCTCCTCGCTCCTTTCCTTTCTCGTCTCGTCTTCTCCCCATCGAGCAGTAGCGCAACATGCGCTGGCGTGCTCATTCTGCAGGAGGTGTGCGACGGGCTCGACAACAACAACGATGGTGAGTCGGGGGGGAATGGTAGCGAGGGGGTGTTAATAGCGGACAGGTGGGCTGCAGAGGCCTTACTTCCATCAACTCGTGCTATTCTAGGACAACGAGACAAACCCCATGGGTTAGTGGAAGAAAGGAGCCTGGTTAAGCGCTAGCTTAGAACGTTTCTTAGAGATAAAGTACTCTACGCTCAACAACAATGATGGTGAGTCTGGGAATGGTAGTGAGAGGGTGGATAATGGTGGGACGATGGACGATTTGTGAGGGGGAATGAACAATACACAAAACACACACCCTGCCTCCCATGCACCCCTGCCGTCCGTGCCCGACCCTTACATGCACCTGTCCCTCCCATCGCTGCCACGCCCCATCTCAACATTCCCTATCTCACTCTCTCCCATCTAACCTCTAGCATCTCACCCTCTCACCGACAACAACCATCATTGCCATACTCCTGCCCCCACAACCCCCCTCCCCACTCCCCCTCCTTCCCCACCCCCCTTCCCTCCTTACTCCCCTTCCCTCCCCCCTCCCCCTCCTCCCAATCCACAGGCAAGGTTGACATAGACCCACTGACGGATCGTCTTCTCACGCGCCCGTGCCGCAACCCCTGTGGGGCGGGAATAGAGACGTGCATCGATGGGGCGTTTCAGAACTGCACCGCTCCCGTGCACGGGCCTGAAGTGTGAGTGGTGTGCTGGGATGGGGAGTGGTGTGCATGGGTTTGTGCAACAGGCAAAAGGGGGAGGACTGGTGTGATAGAGACATGAAGTGATGGGGCGTTTCAGAATGGCTCCTGTGCACTGCTCCTGTGTATGGGCCTCAAGTGTGAGTGTTGTGCGGAGGGGGGAGGGGTTGGTGCATTGTACTGTGGTGACTTTTGAGTCGACTCAAATGTGCGGAGGGAAGGGGTTGGTGAATTGTTGAGTCAGGGAGTGTGAGTCGCCGGCACAAGAAGCAAGTTCTGCACTTAATCCTTCCCAGTCCTTCCACGCCCTTCTCCTCTTCAATGCTCTCTCACCGCTCGTCTTTTTCTCCTCACCACCACTCTTTCCTCTCACTGCTCCCTTTCACTCCCTTCCCCTCCCCATTCAGCTGCAACGGGGTTTGCGACGGTCTTATCGACAACTCCGCCTTTCCAGCCGCCCCTCAGCTGGACTGTGCCAACGGCTCCGTGTGCTTCAAGGGGCAGTGCCTGCCGTGAAAGGAGTTATCCTCCTTCTCATCCCTCTCACTCCTACCCCTCCTTTCTCCCCTCCCTCTCCTTCCCCCCTCTCCCCATTTAGCTGCAACGGGGTGGACGACAACTGCGACGGTCTCATCGACAACTCGCCCTCGCCATCCGCCCCCAGCTCGACTGCGCCAACGGCTCCCTGTGCTTCAAGGGGCAGTGCCTGCTGTGGAAGGTGTCATCCTCCTTCTCATCCCTCTCTCGCCTGCCTCTCCTTCCTCCCTCTCCCCTGCAGCTGCAACGGGGTGGACGACAACTGTGACGGCCTCATCGACAACTCGCCCTCCCCAGCCGCCCCTCAGCTTGACTGCGCCAGCGGCTCTCTCTGCTTCAAGGGGCAGTGCCTCCCGTATGGCCCTCTCACTGCACCTGTCACAGTGATCAACAAGAGCGCTGCTGGCTGGCTGTACTACGACAAGGGGTACCTGCCTCAGTCCTACCCCACCTGGAGCACCAACAGGTGAGCGTGAAACCATGAGACAGGGTTTCTGGTTTAGGGTTTAGTGTTATAAACAAGAGCGCTGCTGGCTGGTTGTACTATGATAAGGGGTACCTGCCGCAGTCCTACCCCACTTGGAGCACCAACAGGTGAGTCCCCCAGCACTGTCCCAAAATTCATGTTTTTTTCCCTGCTGCCTCACGCTGCCTCTATCTCTTCCACTTGCTACCCCTTTCTCTGAGTCGCCTCAGAAATCCTTTCCCACTTGCTGCTGCTGCCTGGCTCGTGCTATTCTCGGTCAGAAGCAAGCACCCCTGCTGCTGTAGCCATCTCCTCTCTACCACCTCCCGTTGCGCTCTACCTAAGCACACATCGTCTTGCCCTCTTGCGACTCCCCATGCGACATTCCTCAATATTTCTTGTTTTCAGACGCCCCCGCATGCACCTCATGGCCTGCCTCCATGTTACTCCCACCTCATCCCACCCGCCTCTGCACCTCTGCCCCTCACAGCAACGTGCCAGCGCGTCTGCTCAAGGAGGGTGCAGCTCCATTCGGCTTCAACTCAGCGGCAGCCACGGCCACAAACCTCTCGCAGCTCACCAGTGGTGACTCCGCCTACTTCTTCCTCAAGAGCTTTGCACTCACGGAGGAGGAGGCCAACACCACCTGGAGCTACTGTGAGTTGCCCTCCCTGGGTCCCGTCTCCCTCGCTTCCACTCTCATTCACCCGTTTCCTTCTCTAAAGGCCTACTTCTTCCACAGAGGAGGAGGCCAACACCACCTGGAGCTACTGTGAGTTGCATCCCCTTCCTCCTCCCGCACCTACACTTTTCTCTACACCACTCCACTCTCCTCTCCTTACCGAGTGCCTCCCTTACCTGCACCTCCTTTCCTTTGTCTTCTGCTTTATCCCTCCACCCACGTCCTGCTGTTCCCATCATACGTGCATGCCCCCAACAGCTCCATCCATCCAGAGGATGACGGAGCAGTGCTGCTGAGGAACGGGGGCGAGATCCTCCGAACCAACATGCCTGCTGGCCCCATCACCTCTGCTCCCAACCCCTTTTGCTCCACGCACCTCCCCATGCCCCCAACAGCTGCATCTATTCAGAGGGACGACGAAGCAGTCCTGCTGACCAACGGAGCCGAGTTCTTTCGCATCAACATGCCTGCTGGCCCCATCACCCCTTCCTCCTCCTCCAAGTCCTCGTGCCATCTCACTCGTATCCCTTTCACCCATCCCACCCGTCCCTCACCCCCATACAGCCGCGTCCGTCCAGAGGGAGGATGGTGCTGTCCTCCTGATGCACTACGCCGAGTTCTTCCGCACCAACATGCCTTTGACTCCCTCTTTCTCCCCTCTTTCCACCCTCCATTCCCTGCCTCCCCCAACAGCTGCGTCCGTCCAGAGGGATGACGGTGCTGTCCTCTTGATGAATGGAGCCGAGTTCTTCCGCTCCAACATGCCTGCTGGCCCCATCACCTCCGCAACCTTTGCTGCTACCGGCACATGGGGTGCCGATAAGACCACCTTCTTCAATAGCACACCCTTCCGATCCATCGCGCAGTTCTTGCAGGTAACGTTTGGTGACTGCAAGGTAACATGGTTACTGCAAGGTAACATGGTTACTGCAAGGTAACATGGTTACTGCAAGGTAACATGGTTACTGCAAGGTAACATGGTTACTGCAGGTAGCGGGATCACTGCCGGTAGCCACTTACTCCACTGCAAGGGTTGCCGATAAGACCACCTTCTTCAACAGCAGGTAACATAGTCAGGATCCCTCGCGCAGTTCCTGCAGGTAGTACCCTCCCCAGGTGCTGCCTCCCTCAGGAATGACCTTCCTCTGGGTGGGTGGTATCTCTGTTGTCGCTCTTCATTTCTGGTGCAGTGCAGCACAAACCTCTCCTCATAGGACCTCTTTCTTCAGCCCACGCCCTCTCTTCCTGCTGTGCCTGCTCTGCATCCCATCCCCGTCTCTCTCCCTTCTTCTCTGAACACCAGCCGGGCACCAACTGGGTGGGAGTGCAGCTATACCAGTCGCGCTGGTCCAGCGATGCCCTCTCATACTGCTGTCCCTTCTATGCCTCCCGTGATCCCATCCCTCGTCTCCCCCTCCCTCCCCCCCACCAGCCGGGCACCAACTGGGTGGGAGTGCAGCTACACCAGTCGCGCTGGTCCAGCGATGCTCTCTTTGAACTCGAGCTCACCCGCCACCTGCTCTCTTCCCTAGTGTTGCAGGGAATATTTTTTATCTTTCTAGGATAATCTGCACCATCCCATGCCCTGAACCCTCGCTTTCTCTTCTGCCTGTTCTGCCTCCCATCCCGTTCCCATCCCCTCCCCCACACCAGCCCGGAACCAACTGGGTGGGAGTGCAGCTACACCAGTCGCGCTGGTCCAGCGATGCTCTCTTTGATCTCGAGCTCACCCGCCATGCCATGCGCCCCTGCTCCGCTCTCGAAGGCTCGCCCGCTGCCTGCGTGCGCACGCCCCCGGCTGACACTCTGCTGCTCGCGGTGAGACAGATGGTTAGGATGGATGGACTGCCATGTGCCATGTGCCATGTGAAATGCGCCATGTGCCATGTGCCATGTGCCATGGCCCTGCCTTCGCACCATCACTGCTCGCCCTCTACTGCCTGTTCCAACAACCACGAATTACTGCCTGTGCCTCCTACCTACTCCCCCTCACTCACCTTTCTCTGTCCTCCTCCGTATCTGCCTTCCTGTCCCTTTCCCTCCCTTCCCTACCCTTCTCGTCGCTGTGCCTATTCTTCCTCTCCCTCCCTGCCTGCAGCAAGGGTCCACATGGGCCTACAATGACGCCTCCCTCCCACCGCCGCCCGCTGACACTTGGTATCTGCCCTCCTTCGACGATTCTACATGGCTCAAAGGTAAGTCTCGCTGGGCTTGGGCTGCTGATACAGGGGGGTTGTTGTTCCTATGATGCTAAGGTTGCCTCCCTGCCAGCACCACCCCCTGACACCTGCCCTCTTTTGACGACTCGGCATAGCTCAAAGGTGCGACTTAGAGCGGTTCAGAGGGGTGATCGAAGGTACTTGCCCTTGCACATGCTTCTCACTGGTGGTTCCTGCCCTCCTCTGGCGACTCTACATGGCTCAGAGATTAGTCTCGCTGGGCTTGAGCTAATCTTTTAGACAGAAGGCTGCTCGTTGGTGTGGTTTGGGAATACAGGTGCCTTGCGAAGGTGCAGCGGATTGAGCAGAGGAGACAGAGGGAGGCATGTCACATGTGCCACCCACCCCTTGCTTCTTGGGACTTGCCCTCTCCTTCCCATAAGGGCTGCCCCGTGTGCGCATTGCTGCTGAGTCTCCTATGAAAAAAGCGAAGGACGGCAATTGTACCTCCTCATTCCTTCCCCGCTCCCCCCAACACCAACCAGGCCCCGCGCCCCTAGCAGCAGGCAGCAGCAGGACGGCCACCACCACCACCACCACCACCACCACCACCACCACCACCACCACCACCACCACCACCACCACCACCACCACCACCACCACCACCACCACCACCACCACCACCACCACCACCACCACCACCACCACCACCACCACCACCACCACCACCACCACCACCACCACCACCCCCACCACCCCCCACCACCACCACCACCACCACCACCACCACCACCACCACCACCACCACCACCACCCCCACCACCCCCCACCACCACCACCACCACCCCCCACCACCACCACCACCCCCACCGCCCCCACCACCCCCACCGCCCCCACCACCCCCACCGCCCCCACCACCCCCACCACCCCCACCACCCCCACCGCCTCCACCACCCTCTCCCGCATGGCACACTACTCCGCACTACTTCCACCACCTTCACTGTCACTGGCGCCGCCTGCCACATGCCTCACTATGCTTCCTTGCTTCCCTCCCCCGTCCCCACCCAGGCCCCGTGCCCCTAGCAGCGGGCAACAACAGGGCTGGCACCAACCTCACCCTCAGCAGCACCACCAGCACCCCCAGCGCCAACAGCACTGCTCCCCATGTGGCACACTAATTCCACCGCGCCTTCATTGTAACTGATGCTGCCTGCCACGTGGCCCCTCAAGTCTTCCCCCTTCCCTCCCCTTCCCTTTCCCCACCACCCAGGCCCCGCGCCCCTAGCAGCGGGCAACAACAGGGCTGGCACCAACCTCACCCTCAACAGCACCACCAGTGGCTCACGTGTGGCACACTACTTCCGCCGCGCCTTCACTGTCACCGACGCTGCCTGCCACGTGGCCCTCACCGTCTCCTTCAACATCGCTGATGGCGCTGTGAGTGCTCCTCGCGTCAGTGTTCGCATCAGAGTGCAGGGGTGTACTTTCAGCTGTGCCAGGGTTTAAGGTTCAGTGTACTTTTTAGTGCCGCCTGCCACTGCCGCTACCACTGTGCCTCGTGTGTGGGCCCCTATCACCAGTGCCGCACTGTTGCCCAACATTCTTCGTCTCTCCATCCCTCCTCACCAGGTGCTGTACCTGAACGGCGTCGCGGCATATCGCTTCCTTCCAGACGCCGCCCACCGCTGCCACTGTGCCTCGTGTGTGGGCCCCTGTGCCTCACTCTTCTCAAAGCTTCTTCATTTTCCCACATTTTCCCCTCCTCCACCCCCCCCTCTTACCAGGTGCTGTACCTGAACGGTGTTGAGGCATACCGCTTCCAGATGCTGCCTGCCTCATGGGCCCCGGTCACAGGGCGTTTTCGAGAATTCTCAAAAACTCCCCACCACCACTGGGACTTCAACATCAGTGCCTCACTCTTTCTCACTGCTCTCCTTCTCTCAACCCCCTCAACAGGTGGTGTATCTGAATGGCGTCGAGCCATACCGCTTCCAGATGCTCCCCCCCTGATGGGGCCCAGTCACCCCCACCACCACCACTGGGACTTCAACATCAGTGCCTCACTCTTTCCCACTGCTCTCCTTCTCTCACCCCCCCCTCTTACCAGGTGCTGTATCTGAACAAGGTCGAGCCATACCGCTTCCAGATGCCGCTGGCTTCATGGGGCCCTGTCACTCCCACCACCATGACCACCACCACTGGGGCTTACACATCAGCACCTCACTCTTTCCTACTGCTATCTTTGTCTTGATTCCCCCCTTTCCAGGTGGTGTACCTGAACGGCGTCGAGGCGTACCGCTTCCAGATGCCGCCCCCCTCATGGGGCCCGGTCACGCCGGCCACCAACGCCACGGGCGGCTATGTGTGGCGGTGGGTGCCGTCTGTTCTGTCGGGCGGGTGGCTGCAGCAGGGGGCGAATGTGATAGCCGTGGAGGTGCATCAGCAGAGGAGCACCAACACTCTGCTCACGTTCGACGTGCAGGTTACCAGCAAGAGAGAGGCTGTTGCCTGCACCCCTGCCCCACAGTAGGATGATGTTGAGAATTCTCAGAGCCGGGCTACAAAAGAATGGATGTAGCAGGGGGCGAATGTGATAGCGTTGGAGGTGCATCAGCAGAGGAGCACCAACACTCTGCTCACGTTTGAGGTTCTGGTTACCAGCAAGAGCTATTGCCTGCACCCCTGCCCCGTTGTAGCCTCTGATGCTATGATGATGCTGTAGAGATGCTATAATGTTGATGTTGTACATTACATGTAATATTATAGGTTATATAATTTCTTTTATCATATAATCGAGAAAATAATGGCACCAGAGCAGGCCCTCAAACTTCAAGGCTCATGATTATTGGTATGGCAAACATCTGCGTACGAAAATAGTTCACATCCAGCTCCAGTTTGCTGTCTCGTGCTTATTTGGCATTAGTCGCGGTCAGTCTTGAGAGCTCCTCTGCAATGGGTGTAGGGGATGGGATGTATACAAAGAGGGAAGAGCATATCGGTACTTAATGAGGACGACAAGGAAACAGGGATACACCATGGGGTGGAGATTAATAGAAGGCCGAAAGAGGCGAGCCGCAAGACAACCTGGAAAAACGGAAAAGGTACAGGCAGGATTTGAACCTCCGTCACTAATTCTTCCTACCTTGCTTCTTCTCCTTGAGTGTACTGCTGTCGGTGAGGAAAAAGATTGCACCACGTTTCTGATAAGCGGTCTGCAAAAACATGGCACCACGCTTTTTATGAGCAGTCTGTGGGTAGTAGGGGAGACTAAGAGGGAATAGCAGCCAAATCAGTCAGTATGCAAACAAAGAGTCTGACCCATTCCATCGGTGATTTCCATTTGCATAGACTATGCATTGGTGCAGCATAACGGGTCAAGGGGACTTACCCGGCCAGAAGGCAACGAGGAGAGCTCAGCACAAGCCACCTGCAGTTCCTGCACCTGCGAGGGTATTCGCGCAGAGGGTAATCAAGAACGTTATATTTTGTTTAGAGGCGACTTTTGAGTCGACTCAAAAGTCACCTGCAGAGGAGATTTATAAGAACATGTTCTTTTGTTCAAATCCAGAAAACACGCACGAGCACACTGAAGATAGCAGAGGCAGGGAGTAGAGCGACAGATACTTATGGCAACAGGCGGCCCCATTACCTTCAGATTCTGCTCCTTCTGATGTGGTGTGCTGCTTTCCATGTTGGGGAGTGGAAAACTGTTGGCAGGCCCTGGCAAACTCTCAGAGGGAGGTCTGTGACTTTTGAGTCGACTCAAAAATGGCCCCATTACCTTCAGATTCTGCTCCTTCTGATGTGGTGTGCTGCTTGCCATGTTGGGGAGTGGAAAACTGTTGGCAGGCCCTGGCAAACTCTCAGAGGGAGGTCTGTGACTTTTGAGTCGACTCAAAAATGGCCCCATTACCTTCAGATTCTGCTCCTTCTGATGTGGTGTGCTGCTTGCCATGTTGGGGAGCGGAAAACTGTTGGCAGGCCCTGGCAAACTCTCAGAGGGAGGTCTGTGACTTTTGAGTCGACTCAAAAATGGCCCCATTACCTTCAGATTCTGCTCCTTCTGATGTGGTGTGCTGCTTGCCATGTTGGGGAGCGGAAAACTGTTGGCAGGCCCTGGCAAACTCTCAGAGGGAGGTCTGTGACTTTTGAGTCGACTCAAAAATGGCCCCATTACCTTCAGATTCTGCTCCTTCTGATGTGGTGTGCTGCTTGCCATGTTGGGGAGCGGAAAACTGTTGGCAGGCCCTGGCAAACTCTCAGAGGGAGGTCTGTGACTTTTGAGTCGACTCAAAAATGGCCCCATTACCTTCAGATTCTGCTCCTTCTGATGTGGTGTGCTGCTTGCCATGTTGGGGAGCGGAAAACTGTTGGCAGGCCCTGGCAAACTCTCAGAGGGAGGTCTGTGACTTTTGAGTCGACTCAAAAATGGCCCCATTACCTTCAGATTCTGCTCCTTCTGATGTGGTGTGCTGCTTGCCATGTTGGGGAGCGGAAAACTGTTGGCAGGCCCTGGCAAACTCTCAGAGGGAGGTCTGTGACTTTTGAGTCGACTCAAAAATGGCCCCATTACCTTCAGATTCTGCTCCTTCTGATGTGGTGTGCTGCTTGCCATGTTGGGGAGCGGAAAACTGTTGGCAGGCCCTGGCAAACTCTCAGAGGGAGGTCTGTGACTTTTGAGTCGACTCAAAAATGGCCCCATTACCTTCAGATTCTGCTCCTTCTGATGTGGTGTGCTGCTTGCCATGTTGGGGAGCGGAAAACTGTTGGCAGGCCCTGGCAAACTCTCAGAGGGAGGTCTGTGCGTGCCAACTAATGACTTCTGCTCTGCATTTACCATGAAAAGGCGGGAAGGAAATCAATGGAAAAAAGGGAAACGTGAAGACAGGACGGGGTGCTTACAGGAATTTGGATGTAACTCGAGGGTACGAAGAGTGGCCATCACCAATCACAGATATCCCACCATTGATACTATCAATTTGATAATACATAAAGTTCAATGGCGATTCACCCTTCTTCAGCGGTGTATGTGTCTGTCTGTGTCCAATGGAACCCCAAGTAAGAGCCATGGCTATACGTGGCAGCAGCTGGATATTTTAGTTAAAGTTTTGTTGTATAGTTGTTGTGGGCTTGCTGGAAAACTGTAAAAATGAGATTTGGCGGTAACTATTTTTGGCTTTCAAAGCCTTCTTCAGACCACGGTGGGCGGTCGTCTATCAGAAACGGTCACATTGAGGCGAGGTGATGGAAGGGAGGTGATGGTGGGTGCTTGGGCTGCATGCTGCTGACTGGTTGGCCTGCATACTGCTGACTGGTTGGCCTGCATGCCAGGCGGGCAGTTAGAACCTCCAATCTGGAAGATTTAAGACAATGTTTTCTGCGCCTAAAAGACATATGATGACTTTTAACGAATGTCCCTCTCATAAATGAGCTTACCTTTCAGAAGAGTCCCCACAGATGTCTGGTTTTGAGGTGCCTCAGTTTTGAGGTCTAGTTTTAAGGCGCCTCAAAACTAAACGAATGTTCCTCTCAGAAATGAGCGTACCTTTCAGAAGAGTCCCCACAGATGCCCCTCGAGAGGCAAACCTTTCAGCGGAGGGGAAGGGAGCCTACAAGTCCTTCAGCCTCGGAAAATTCCAGACCAGAGTCAGAGGCTCGGCGATGGTGTTGCAACTCAAAACCCTGCAATGAAAAATGGGGCGAATGAGACAGGGCCAATGAAGTAGGGCGAACGAGGCAGGGAGATTGAGTTAGCGCTAAAGAGGCATGGAGAATGAGGCATGGCGAATGAGGCATGGAGAATGAGGCATGGCGAATGAGGCATGGAGAATGAGGCATGGAGAATGAGGCATGGAGAAAGAGGCATAGCGAATGAGGCATGGAGAATGAGGCATGGAGAATGAGGCATGGCGAATGAGGCATGGAGAATGAGGCATGGCGAATGAGGCATGGAGAATGAGGCATGGCGAATGAGGCATGGAGAATGAGGCATGGCGAATGAGGCATGGAGAATGAGGCATGGAGAATGATTCAATGAGGCATGGCGAATGAGGCATGGAGAATGAGGCATGGAGAATGAGGCATGGAGAATGAGGCATGGCGAATGAGGCATGTAGAATGAGGCATGGATAATGAGGCATGGAGAATGAGGAATGGAGAATGAGGCATGGCGAATGAGGCATGGAGAATGAGGCATGGAGAATGATTCAATGAGGCATGGCGAATGAGGCATGGAGAATGAGGCATGGAGAATGAGGCATGGAGAATGAGGCATGGCGAATGAGGCATGTAGAATGAGGCATGGATAATGAGGCATGGAGAATGAGGCATGGAGAATGAGGCATGGAGAATGAGGCATGGCGAATGAGGCATGGAGAATGAGGCATGGAGAATGAGGCATGGCGAATGAGGCATGGAGAATGAGGCATGGCGAATGAGGCGTGGAGAATGAGGCATGGAGAAAGAGGCATGGCGAATGAGGCATGGAGAATGAGGCATGGAGAATGAGGCATGGCGAATGAGGCATGGAGATTGAGGCATGGCGAATGAGGCATGGCGAATGAGGCATGGAGAATGAGGCATGGAGAATGAGGCATGGAGCATGAGGCATGGAGAATGAGGCATGGAGAAAATGGCATGGCGGATGAGGCATGGAGAATGAGGCATGGAGAAAATGGCATGGCGGATGAGGCATGGAGAATGAGGTTGGGAGAATGTGGTAGGGCGATAGGGAAGTTGGATGAAGTTGCATAGGGAAGGCAGTGGAACATTGGGGGAAAGGAAGTGGGACAGTGGGGGAAAGGAAGGACAGTGGGGAAAGGAAGTGGGACAGTGGGGGAAGGGGAGTTTCAGCGCAGCGGGGGAAGGGGAGTTTCAGTGCAGTGGGGGAAGGGGAGTTTCAGCGCAGTGGGGGAAGGGGAGTTTCAGCGCAGTTGCGGAAGGAAGTTTCAGCGCAGTGGGGGAAGGGGAGTTTCAGCGCAGTGGGGGAAGGGGAATTTCGGCGCAGCGGGGGAAGGGGAATTTCGGCGCAGTGGAGGAAGGGCAGTTTAAGCGCAGTGGCGGAAGGGGAGTTTCAGCGCAGCGGGGGAAGGGAAGTTTCAGCGCAGTGGGGGAAAGGGGAGTTTCAGCGCAGTGGGGGATGGGGAGTTCATGCATTCCCGTGTGATGGGCAGCAGGGGATGAGAGTGGAACTTCCTTGAACGGGTGTGCAGCCAATATGGTTCGACGCTTCACAGTGGCGGATTCCCCACACTCTAGTATGACGTGTATGGACAATCGCCTACCGCTATACTCACTCGCGCATTCCGTCTCGCGTATCTCGGTGGTGTTCCTGCCGATTTCGACACTCTAATGTTTGGTTGCTGTGCTTTTCATGGCTGGTCAACTTCAGGTGTCGATTTTCGACTCTAGCCATGTTGACGCAGCAAGGGAGATTCAATGCTCAGGGTGTGTCACATTTTTATTCTGCAGCCGGTCAGCTCCGAACCTGTTCAGCGTTGCTCATGGAAGCTTTCTCTGGTCTGGGATGGATGTTCCGCTTCATGAAGTGGCGATTGCGTTTCCTTCGTCGCAAAAAAACCTGCGAATGCGGTGTGACGCGATGTAATTTCTTTATCACGACATTCGTCCAGCTATTTCGACACTCCAAATTTACGCGAGCCAATTGCGTCGTTCGGACCAGCGAACCTTCCAACCATTGAAACCAGTCCACCTAGGGGTTTTCAAGCCGTGTACTGGTGATTTTTTTACCATTTTTAGACTAAGAATTTCGCCACTGAAGCGCGGTGTACTCTAGACTGCTGGTGGGAATCTCGACGGCCGCAGCATTCCTAGATTCTTATGCTCCAGCTCCACAAGCCAGTCGTTTCTTAGCATCGTTGCTAGCCATGGTCCGATTTTCATGGCTTCTCATCGCGTTCGTCGTCCTCCTATCAGCGACGTCCACGTCAGCGCTGGTCTTCACGCTGCTGAAGCGCGAGTGCTTCCAGCATTTCGTGCCGAAAGGCGGCGAGACCATTCACGTGTCATTTGTCGTGATCAAATCTGATTACAACTGGGGGGGAGGCGAGCAGGCGAAAATCGATCTAACGGTAAGCCGCCACGATATGCTGCCTCATCAGTTCGCGAAGCGAAACGGTTTCGCAGCTCCGTTCGCCACATCTAACAGATGAAACCTCACAACTCGAAACAAGGGTCGAACCCTTGCTTCTAGACGAGGCTCTCGGAAACTCCCCGCCGTGCACTCAAGCGTCAGGGTAAGAGACCTTTGGCGTTTGATCCTCCCTCCCTGGTCTTATATGCTCACACCGCCAGATCGCCAGGTGGTAGAACCAAGGGACCACGTGGTACTGAAGGTGGATGCGAATGCAGGAAACAACGGCTGATTCTCTGTCCTTTGCTCACCCATCCGCGCCTCTCTCCTCTCCTCCCCTCTCTCCGTCCCCCCGTGAATTCAACTGCCACGTGGAGGATCCCAGGGGACACGTGGTGCGGAATGTGGAGGGGAGGACGCACCGGCACATCGGCTGTTCCTTGCTAACAACCCCCCATTCCCCACCCCTCCTCCGTGAATTCAACTACCACGTGGAGGATCCCAGGGGACACGTGGTGTGCACGGTGGACGCGAGGACGGACGACAGCTTCAGATTCTTCGTCCTGTGCCCACACCCCCACTCCACCCGCTCCTCCCCCCCTCCTCCCCTCTCCGCTTCCCCCCCGTGAGTTTAATCACCAGGTGGAGGACCCAAGAGGACACGTGCTGCGCAAGATAGAGGCGAGGACGGACGACAGCTTCATGTTCACCACTGCAGTAGACGGATACTTCAAGGTCTGCTTCAACAACCCACCCCAACCTTCCCCCCCACCTTTACCCCCCTACCCCCCTTTCCCTTCCCCCCCACCCTCCCCTCCCCACTTCCCCGCGTCCTCCGTTAACGTTATGAACGAGCAGGTGGAGGACCCAAGGGGGCACGTGCTGCGGAAGATAGAGGCGAGGACGGACGACAGCTTCATGGTCACGGCCGCAGTAGACGGATTCTTCAAGTTCTGCTTTACGACGGACTCTGCTGTGCACGAATCCGTGGCGTTTGATGTGGAGAACGGCCACCCAATCACCACTGAACACGTGGCAAAGAATGGTGAGGCGATGGTGAGAAATGGGACGCATGGCAGGGGATGGTAAGCTGGCCGTCACACTTATGAATGGACAAGAGGGAAAACACGTGTCAATCTGCCTTCCAGTGATCGTTGTCTCATTGTTCGTGTGCACTGCTTGGCGAATCCTCCTGCAGTTCATCAGGCCCGTATGTGTCTGACCTTTCTCGTATGTGACCCTTCGCACGCTGGCCAACGCCACTCTCGCCGTCTCCTCCCTGCTCTCTGCGTTCACTCCCTGCTCTTGATCTCGCTCTTTCGTCCAATGTGATTCACGATATAGGGCTGCTTTCTCTACACTTACAATTCGTTATAATAACCAGTTTTGTAAACGATTGCTCATGTGCATCCGTGCTCATCTGCGTGTCTGTGCATCTGTGCTGCATGTGCATGCCATGCCACCAGACCAAATCGAACCACTGTTGAAGGAGGTGCATCGGTTGCAGAGGGAGGTGATGCGCACCAAGCACGAGATCCACTACTCCTTCTACCTCGCCGAACAGCACGCAGAGGGTGAGTGGCGGTGGGGTTTTTCAACGAGGTGAGAGCAGCACGGCACGGCAAGATGGGGTTCATGATAGCACGGGTTGGCTTGAGGGTGGATGTGCATGATTGTAGCATGAGGAGGGAGGGAGGTGATGCACACCAAGCACGAGCTAGCTAGCACCAGGAGGTGGAAGGACAGCCACACGCTCGCACAGTTACTCAGGGTTTAGGGCCATTCGCCTTGTCTCCTGGAGCTGGAGTGCATTGTTCCCAGTGCCAGGCCATGGTATGGCCTGTGGGTATGTGTCGTTGTCAAAGTGTCGTTATTTCTCTTGTCCAGTCGTCGTCTTCCCTGGAACTGTCTTTTGAGAATTCTCAAAAAACACATTTTGAGAATTCTAAAAAAACACTCGTCGTTTTTTTATTGGAACTGTGGTGCACGATTCTCAATGGCCTTGCCATGGGTGTGGATAGTCAAGACTGTTGTACGTGTTGTTGTCAAAGCACCCAAACCACCGTCATGCTCTCACCTGTGCTCTCACCTGTGCTCTCACCTGTGCTCTTACCTGTGCTGCCCTGCTTTTGCCTTTGCCCTGCTGAACCAGCAGGCAGCCATGGAAACTGCCAAGCCTGTGCTATGAACCGTTTGCCTTGCCATTTTTTGGGTCAACGTAAAAGTCGCCCGTTACAATGAGACATGACCATTTTCACTCCTGAATCCACTCAAAAGTCAGCTGTGCCGAATTCAGCTTGCTTGACATGTGCACTGTGTTGGCCCTCCCACATGCCCCCCTCTCCTTGTCCCTCCAGTGGACAAGTGGACGGCACAGAGAGTTCTCGCCAAGGCTGTGCTACAGGCGGGCGCACTCATAACGTGTGGCATCATACAAGTGTGCCTGCTGCAGTGTCTAGCATTTATAGTTGTCTCAAAACTCTCTGTGTCCCCCCACCCTCCCTCCTCACCACCCCTCCCCTCTCCAGTGGACAAGTGGACGGCACAGAGAGTTCTCGGCAAGGCTGTGCTACAGGCGGGTGCACTCATAACGTGTGGCATCATACAAGTGTGCCTGCTGCAGCGGCTCTTTGAAAAGAGGCTCAAGATGAGCCGCGTGTAACCCAGGCCCTTACTGCTGGATGAGTGGAAGGGCATGAGGAGGAAAGGGAGGAAGAGTTGAATCCAGCCAGGAGTCTTTGCACAGGTGTTGAGTGGGCAGAGGAGAAAGGTGAGGAAGGGGGTGAGGGAAATGAGAAGGAGGAGGGGGAGTTGCTATGGGATGGGCGTTGCCCACAAGCCCACACGCCCCTGGTGCTGTGGGGTACGTCCCTAGCTGCTGCCGTGGGGGCTCTGGTGCTTGTTGCCGTGGCTGCTGCTGCTCCCGTGCACACAGGAGGCACCATGGCAACAAGTTGAGGAATGGAACTGTGCACTTGAAAGTTGTGAGGCTTCACGAACTCGACAGCTCAGGTGCATATGCAGGTTACTAAGGCCTGGAGACGAGGTGGTGACAAGAATGAGAGGAGCAAAGGAGGAAAGGACCAAACCGTTTGCTGCTGTGGTTGTGGAGATTTTGGAGCTATTGTAGTTCCTGTTTCTGCTCCAGCGCAACAGAATCACGAGCCTTCAAAACGCTAGCATCCTTGAATTTTTATTTCTTCAATGTGTAGTGATACATTTTCTACTAGGCACTACCACACACTACCATAGTCTTGGCAATCCAAGTCCAGTTTCCATCTCAAGTTGTTTAGGCGCACCAAGGGGTTGCTTGGGGTGCGTTGAAAGTGTCTTCTTTCACTACAGATTGTTGCCTTGGTCGTACCAGTACCAGCCATCAATACTGCAAGAGTTCTGAAGACTACTAACACAGTGTTCACTTTCAGGCACTATATTAAAGACATACGGTACATGAGCCTAACACAAGATGAACAGCTATAGAGTCTAATTGGCAGAGGTCAAGCATCAAGATGTACCGTACCGTACCATGCTCATGACAACTCTGCACAGGGCCAGAGCCATCCCTGTGGGAGCGCACCGGACCAGAGCCATCCCTGTGGGAGCGCACCGGACCAGAGCCATCCCTGTGGGAGCGCACTGGACCAGAGCCATCCCTGTGGGAGCGCACCGGACCAGACCCATCCCTCCAGGAGCGCACCGGGCCAGAGCCATCCCTCGGGGAGCGCACCGGACCCGAGCCATCCCTTTGGGAGCGCACTGGACCCGAGCCATCCCTTAGGGAGCGCACCGGACCAGAGCCATCCCTTAGGGAGCGCACCGGACCAGAGCCATCCGTTTGGGAGCACACCGGACCAGAGCCATCCCTCCAGAAGCGCACCGGGGCAGAGCCATCCTTTTGGGAGCGCACCGGACCAGAGCCATCCCTGTGGGAGCGCACCGGACCAGACCCATACCTCCAGGAGCGCACCGGGCCAGAGCCACCTTGGGGGAGCGCACCGGACCAGAGCCATCCCTCGGGGAGCGCACCGGACCCGAGCCATCCCTTTGGGAGCGCACTGGACCCGAGCCATCCCTTAGGGAGCGCACCGGACCAGAGCCATCCCTTAGGGAGCGTACCGGACCAGAGCCATCCGTTTGGGAGCGCACCGGACCAGAGCCATCCCTCCAGAAGCGCACCGGGCCAGAGCCATCCCTTTGGGAGCGCACTAGACCAGAGCCATCCCTCTGGGAGCGCACCGGACCAGAGCCATCCCTCTGGGAGCGCACCGGACCCGAGCCATCCCTTGGGTGCCTACTGGGCTTGATGCCAACCTGAAGGAGCGCACTGAAAGCACAGCCACAGCTGAATGGCAGCAGTTGATCATCCTTCCAACCCCCACCGATTCCCAACCCACTCTCCCAAACACCCTGACAAGCAGGGTGCAAAAAAAGGTCCCACCATCATCCCACTTCCCCAACCTCCCAACCACCGCCCCATTGCTGCAATTTGCGCGCGGCTCTGCTTCTGTGCTCTTCAGGTCGTCATCCCGCTGCACTGTTCCTTACTTTGCTGCTCCTTAGGCAACTCGGGTGCAGGCTGGTAGATCGTCAATTTCGAGGTTGGAGCTTGCAGCGAGTCTCAGCGGCGCTTAAGGCCGCCACGGACGCTGTGAGCGCGCTGCGAGCACCACCTTGGATGATGATGCAGCAGTACGAAGCTTCTTAGCAGCCATAGGAACCGCAGCGCTCCCTCTCTCCTTGTGCTGTTTCGTGCCGTTGGAACTCCGTCTGCCTCGCTGCAGCGGCTCTTGCGGGCCGCGGAATAGACGTCGTCCCCTCCGCGCGGCTTTTCACGATAGATCGCTGACCGCTTGGTTTCGGGATGCGAGACGGCAGCAGGTGTGGCGTACGTCCTGAGCTTGTCTTTTCCTGCCCCAAGCCAGCTGGTACGGCCGGCGTCAGAGAATCTTCAGCCGGCGATGGCGATGTTGCCGATTGCGACGTCACCGATTCCGACATCACATGTTCCGACGTCAATGGTTCTGACATCGCTTGTAACGCCTGTGGGCTGTGTTAAGGGCACTCCGCTGCGCCAAATAACACCCTCGTTTTGACCCAGTGGGTAGCGAGGTGTTACATTTGGAATCAGAGCCTAGGGTTCGAATCCCGGCTGGACCACACTTTCCGCCTTTGGCGAGAACTGAAGTGCGGTTGTAACCAGCTCGAACCCAGCGAACGATCCTCCGCTGGCCTGAGCAACCAGCGAAGTCGCAGCCAGCAGCACTGCGAAATCTAGGTCCCAGCGGCAGGGGGCTGACTTCCTGAAGTCCAGGGCCAACAGGGACGTTGGCACCAGGGGGGGACGAGTGTAACGCCTGTGGGCTGTGTTAAGGGCACTCCGCTGCGCCAAATAACACCCTCGTTTTGACCCAGTGGGTAGCGAGGTGTTACATCGCTGGTTCCGGAATTTCCGGTTCTGACGCCATCGGTTCGGACGTCACTGGATCCGAAGTCACAGCCGGTACATACACCACCGGATCTGAGGATGACGAAGCGGACGCCGTCGGATCCCATATCGCGGAATCGTTCGTCTCCGTATATATTACCAGCGATGCAGCAGCGTCGACAAGACAGGCTTCGCTGCGACTGGCGCCGTCGACGCTCTCAGTGCCGGTGTCAGCGCAGGAGAGCATCGCGTCGCTGGCCTCACTGCAGCAGGGCGTCACGCTGAGGCTGCTAACCTGGCGGAGTTTGCTCGCGTTGCTGGAGCTCCGAGGCTGCAGTGATGGCTGCGTCGGTTTGTTGCTATTGAGGCTCTTCCAGAAGCTTAAGGCGTTGTTGAAGTACGACGGGTAGTCTGAGGCCATGGTGCTGATATCTTCACGAGATGAGCAAACGTCAAGGTAGACTTTACGCTAGAGCTGATAGTGTGAACAAGTCAGGAGGATGATTGAAAAGACGCCCAGGCAGCAGATTTGTAGGCTGTGTCGAGTAGGGGAATGCAGGGAGAGGAGGGAAGAGAAATGTGTTGTCGGAGGGGAGGGCTGGTCAGGCTCGGAAGCAGGGCTTGTCAGGCTCGGGAGCGAGAATGGCGAAGGTGTTCCCGAGACCCTGACCTGCCAAAATTTGTGCTCATTTGCCCGCGGAAAGTTCGTGTCGTGTTGCCTGAGTTCGAATTTTGGGCCCGCGCTGCTCCCACAGCAAGACTCCTTGTTGGGAATCAAGCCCACGAACATTTCGGGTTACTGCCAACAGGCATTACAAAGACTGTCCTGAACAAAGTTTGAACGGACCTAACATTTTTTTTGACCGCGCTACGTACGGCGGGAGTCGGCGAAATTCGAGCTCGCAATGAGCGACAACCTCGGGGGAAGCCAGTCAACACCAGTGTTTGACTACGAATGCTGGTAAACCATACTCACGACCTTTCTACATCTCTCAATACGTACTGGATCTCTCTAAATTGTGTTATCCCGAAAGCTTCGCATATGAAGCCTGCGCGTGAACTTTGGTTCCGAACCTCCTCGCCTTGCTATTGCATGAAAGCCGATATCATCTTTAGAGGTTCTCGGTTAGACCTGCTACACTTTTCCAGTTATTTTTAATTAGTGTCATCTCATCTCCCTTAACAGATGCTAACTTGCAACCACTATTGCATACTACTATGAATGAATTGAATTTCTAAGTTGGGTTTAACTAGGATTGATACATGCCTACGTATATAAAAAACCCAATCCTAATCCATACAGCATGCAGCAACCAGAGTTCTTTCTAAGACCTCATCAGAGAGTAGCATGCAGTGCAGTGACAAAACATGTTCGGTAAACTAGTTTCAATCAATACTGGCAAGGCAGAGGTGCCTGGGTTGGTTTACGAGCTGGAACTGGGGCAGCCCTTTCTAGTCTTTTGAGTCGACTCAAATATTACCTCCCAGTGGTGATGTAGAGTATTATGCATCGGGGAAGAGGCGCCTGAGTTGGTCCACAGTGGTGGGGTGGTGGGTGATGGGGCAGCGACCAAACTGGAGAGCGACGATGCGAGGGTATGGTGGAGAGGGGAGAGGAGAGGGAAGATGAGAGGGGAGATGAGAGGGGAGAGGATGGTGGTGGGGTAGCAGATGCGGGGGTAGCAAAAAGTATCAATGTCCAGCAAAACGGTTACCTAGTTACCAACCTTATCCACGTTGGCAAAGATGAAGGGGTAGCAGAAGATGAAGCCAGAGGTACAGCCTGGGTTACAGGGTTACCAACCTTATCCACATAGGGGAAGATGCAGGGGTAGCAGAAGATGAAGCTGGAGGCAGAGCTTAGGTTACACGGTTACCAACCTTATCCACGTAGGCGAAGATGCAGGGGTAGCAGAAGATGAAGCCGGAGGTGGCAGGGGCAGTGGGGTTGGTGCGGCGGCACAGGCAGAGCGGACACAGGGAGCGATCAGAGGGCACAGGGATGCCTGCAGGGGCCACGTGGAAAAGTGACAGGAGGGAGTTAAACAGGAAAGGGTCGTACAGGAATGGGTTATATGGGAGCGGCAACAAAGGCAGAGGCAGAGCGGACACAGGGAGCGATCAGCCGGCACTGGGATGCCTGCAGGAGCCACCTGGAGGGATGAGGGCGGAAAGGGGAAAGGGGAAACGGTAAAAGGGTTGAACCGGAACAAGTTACAGACAAACGGGTTACAGGAGAATGGCTGAGCTTACTCTGTCGTACTATGTACACGCACCGCATTCTTTGAAGAATGAACTTGCCTTGGGGGGTGGGGGGGGCGGTGGCGGAGGGTACACAGTTGGCGCACTGAGCTTCTGCTCGCCCGTCTGGTACCACCACTCGGCCATCTGATGTGGGGTGGTGAATGAGTGAGTGGAGTCACATGAGCAAACACGGGAGAGTGCAAGTATGTCATGGCATAGCAGCAAGACGCACTTAGTGCCTGCTCGCCTGTCTGGTACCACCACTCGGCCATCTGATGGGATCATGAGCGAATGGAAGAAAGCATGGATGATAGAGTGCCGTCAGCAGGAATACTGAAATTGGTACGGCAGCAAGACGCGCCAGAATTCTGCTCGGCATCTAGTGGGGACATGCCATATGGTGGTATCCAAGCAAAGGCACGAGACACGAGGCGAGAGCAAGAATAAGGAGACTGCTCTTCACATGGCCATTCTCTTCGTGTGTTTTCTTTCTTTGAACTTAATAAAAGCCGCGTACCTTGAAGGCAAAGACAGCAGCAATAACAGACGTCTGGGCATAGTCCATGGTGTAATAGAGGGCTTTCAGGAGCGCTGCTTGAACAGCCTGCAAGGTTAGAGGCAGGGATGGGAGATGCAGTGACAAGGAAGACAGCGGTAGCAGCAGCAGCAGCAGCAGCAGCAATAACTGACGTCTGGGCATAGTCCATTGGGAAGGAATCGGCGAGAGGAGACGGCATGTAGAGGGATTTCAGGAGCGCTGCTAGCACGACCTCGATGGGGAGACGGAGATGGCGTGAGGAGAGGAGAGAACGTGGGATTGGGCAGAGAGAGTGAGGAGAACGGAGGCGCATGAGACACGTACTAGACGTTGGAGTGGCCTACTTACCCTGCCCATACACTCGTCGTACAGCAGGATAGCAACTTTACTACCTCACCCATAGTGTAAGCTATTAACCCCAATACATCAACACTATCGCAGGTTATCATTCGTAATATCTCACCTGGATCGCAGGTAAGCCTGGCAGGCGCTCAAACTCTCACTGGCGGAGTGTAGACAATCCACCATTCACCGGCAAGCAGAAAACGAAAATATGCCTTTGTCTGCAGATAATGAATCAGATGAATCGACAATATTTACAGAGAAAGTGCAGCGATACGACGGTGTAGGCTTACCAGCTCTTGTGACACGGCTCTTGTGACACGGCTCGACACTAAAAGCAACACACACGAACTTCAAGTCTCTCCTCACACACAGAAGATAAATCAACGAACATAGTGAGAGAAAGCGTGCAGAGAAAGAGAAAGGGAGAGAAAGCGTGCCTCGATGTGAGTGTGCATGCTGGCTCACCAGCTCCTGTGGTGTGGCTCGGCGCAGCGAGAGGGAGAGGAGGTGCAGGATGGGCGAGTAGTGAGGCGTGGCATCCATCATGTAGAGCAGCTGGTATAGCAGACACAGGCCTGGTGGGGTTGAGTGGGGAGAGGTTGGAGGAGAGGGGAGGGGGGGAAGGAGAGGAAAACGCACAAATATTACAACGGTGCCATCCATGACGTATAGCAGCTGGTACGGCAGACACAGGCCTGGTGGGGAGGGGTTGGAAAGGGGGAGAAGTTTGGGGGAAAGGGAAGGAATAGGGCACAGGTCTTACAACGGTGAGAAGGCGTGGCGTTCATCACGTATAGCAGCTGGTACAGCAGACACAGGCCTGGTGGGTGAAGGAAAAGGGGGGGGAAAGGCTTAGGAGGGGGAATGGGGGAAACGGAAGGAACAGGGCACGGGTCTCACAAAGATGAGCGGTAAGGCATGGCGTCCGTCATTTACAGCAGCTGGTACAGAGACACAGGCCTGGTGGAGTGGGAAGGAAGAGAGAGAGCGGGGAGGGTGGGTGGGTGGAAGAGGTTGGAAGGGGGAAAGGGAAGGAAAAGAACAAGGCAGAGAGCTTGCAACGGTTGGTAATGAGGTGGTGTGTGGCATCCACCACGTAGGGCAGACACAGGCCCGAGAGTGGGGGGGGAGAGAAGGGAGGAGGGAAATGTAAGGAGCAGACAGAGCTCACAAAGGTTGGTAGTGAGGCGTGGTGGGCATGACATAAAGCCGCCTGTGGAGCCAACATCGGCCTGGTGGGGAAGAGAAGAGCGATGGGAACAACACAGCCGACATGCTCACCAGCCCAGATTGGCTCACCATCTCACCCCACACAGCTCACCTTCATATGGCACCTGCAGCCAGGGGTACGCCACAGCAGCACCTCTCAGGACCCTGAGGCAGAACTTGCAGTGAATGCAGAGCTCTAGCCTATCACACCAGCCAACATGCTCACCACCCCACCCTACCCCACACAGCTCACCTCCATACTCCGCCTGCACCCAGCCCAGGGGTATGCCACAGCAGCACCTCTCAGCTCAGCAGCGTGAGACAGAGCTTGGTTCAAAGGTTGAGCTCCAGCCTGTTCCAAAACACACAAGCTCACCCCCATACGGTGCTTGCAGGCAGGCAGGGGTACACCGCAGCAGCACCTCAGCCGCCGGGGACAGAGACCACGGTCCACCCCACGCATTATCGAAACAGGCCCACCCTGCACAAGCTCACCTTCATATGGTGCCTGCACCCAGGGGTACGCCGCAGCGGCCCCTCTCGAGACCCTGAGACAGACCTTGCTTTCAAGGGCGAGCTCTAGCCTATCACACCAGCCGACATGCTCACCACCCCACACAGACGAGCTCACCTTCATACGGTGCCTGTACCCAAGGGTACGCCCAGCATCGCATCTCAGCTACCCTCGGTCTAAAGTCGAGCTCTAGCCTACCCCAAAACACACCGCCTCACCTTCATACGGTGCTTGCACTCAGGGGTATGCGGCAGCGGCCCCTCTCACAGCCCGTCGCTGCACCCACCGCAGCACTCGCACCACCTGCCGCCACCTCCTGCTGCCTCTCCCACTGCTCCTGCTGCTGCCAATCGCACTGCTCCTCCTTCCAACGTTGCCTCTGGCATCTGAATTGCCAGCAGTGGCCCCTCCTGTGACCACCTGCCCCCCTTGCCCGTCCGCCTCCTCCTCTCCTGCTCCTCCCTCCGCACGCCCATCGGTAACTCTTGCTGCTGCTCCTGCCACACCCTCACCCCCTGGCGTTTCGTCCCTCAATCCATCAGTCCCCAACCCATCATCTAGCTGCTCGTGCCCATGCAGGGAACCCACAGAACCCATGCTCCCAGGACTGCTGCTGCCACTCTCACTGCGCTCTTCACCTCCCATGGCCCCACCATACCCATACCCATCCCCGTACCCATCCCCATCCCCTTGCCCGAGACCAGCATTATTCCCGCCATCCCTCCCCTGTTCCCCCCCACCCATCGTCCCCCCTTCCCCCCCCACCCACAGCGCGCGGGCCTGCCTCTGCCTTTGGCGGGCGGCAAACAGGGCGTGGAGCTTGGCGCGCAGGTAGGGCAGCAGCACCTGTCGTGCAATTAAAGGCATGTGGTGTGGTGGAGAGACTAATGGATAAGGATGGGTACAGGGTGCAGCATCACAGGTATATGGCACACAAAGGCATGCAGCTTGGCGCGCAGGTCCGCCATGAAAACCTGGTTTGTGTTAACGAGTATGGGGTGTAGTGGAAAGATGGAAGGGTAATGGTAGCATTACAGGTTATAGAGGCATGGAGCTTGGTGCGCAGGTAGGGCAGGAGCACCTGGTATGTGTTAAAGAGTATGGGTTGTAGTGGGGAGATGAATGGGTAGTGGTAGGATAACAGCTTACAGCACACAGAGTGTGCAGCTTGGTGCGCAGGTAGGGCAGGAGCACCTGGTATGTAATAGAGGATACGCAATGTAGTGGAGAGATGAACGGGTAAGGACAGGGACAGGGTGCAGTGCAGCATCACAGGGACACGGCGCATGTAGCTTGGTGTCTCGTACGGCAGGAGAACCTGACGTGCAATAACGAGTACGGGGTGTAGTTGAGAGGCGAAGACGAACAGGGTGGGATTGACAGAAGCACACGCATGAGAAGTACAGCTAAGACCCTATGCTGTGCATATTTGATTCTTTAGGTGCTTAGAATAAACAGCAAAGAACCTACCCTTTGATGCTTCATCCTCAGCCATCCACAGTAAGAAATCCCAACCCGGAACGCCAACTGACCAGAAAGAGAAGAGAAAGCGCCCCCTGCTTGCGAGACATGCCATATGATGCCGACCCGCCCTCCTGTCCCCCTGTCGCACTCTCTCCTCTGCCTGCTCCCTCCGCCCTTCCTGCTGCTGCCTCTGTCCGTAGAGCTGCTTGGCTGGGTGAAGGGCAGTGGGGAGCGGTGGAGATGCGGCGAAGGCCATACATGGACTCACCGAATGAGGCGCCTGGGAAGAATAGCAGGGAGGTGACGATGGGGAAGCGGTGGGGAGAGGTGAGTGGGGAAGAGAACAATAGAGATCTGACAGTCATACGTACGGAGGGGGGAGTTAGAGAAGAAGAGTGGCATGGCGATGTGTGATACATGTGACACACTTGGTTTGGTTGGATGTGAAAGTAAGGAGTACATGTCACTATACTGTACTGTGCATATTGAGCGAGTGCCATTCGAGCAGCAGCAGCAGGTTAGAAGAAGACAACAAGAGCTCATAACGAGTACAGAGTGCAGTACCATGCGTGTTGAGAGAATGCCACTCGAGAAGCAGCAGTGCGACAGCAGAGAGCTCATCGCTGTGGTCCAGCACACAAGAGCTAATAACGAGTACAGAGTGCAATACCATGTGTCTTAAGCGAGTGCCACTCGAGCAGCAGCAGCGCAGCAGCAGAGAGCTCGTCGCTGTGGTCCAGCAGGCTGTGCAGCGAGGGACGGTGCTGTGCCAAGACCTGTTGAGTGGTTAACAGGAAGAGGGGACAGAAGGGGGAAAGGAAGGGTGGAGCTGGAGCAGCCGGCGCCACGCTGTGAAGCAACAGTTGCAGTGATGGGGAGGGACGTGGCATTGGGGGAGGGGGAGCAGAAGGGGGAGGGGAAGGGGGAGGGGGAAGGCGCAGGGGGAAAAGTGAGGAAGGGGGAGGGTGCAGGGGACGAGGAGGGGCGGGGGGAGGGGGAAGGGGATATGCGAGTGGGGGAAGACGAGGTTGCTTTCTCATTGGAGTTCAGTCTGCCTCTGCACTCCTGATACCAGGTAAACCACGCTCGATGCCCTCATACACCCAGCCATGTGTTCCTACTGCCATCCAGGTCAATACCGTTTATCTGCATATCTAGTAGTGAAACCCCCTTCTGTTGTCTCTCTCATCCCCTCACAATCTTTGATACTAGTCTGCTTTGTACACACTGTGAAGCACTTATTGTTTTCAGAGGATACACATGTTTACACGTTTTGCGGATCGTGTATATGAATTTGATTAATGCTCTGGACTGGATCCACTATCTCTCTGTCCCTTTCCTCCTCCCACCATTCTCCCCACCAATTTCTTCCAGGCCGTGCAGCCAGCTCTTCCCCCCCCACTCTCCCCTCTCTCCCTCCTCCGCTCCGCCTCTCACTCGCTCCTTCCCCTTGCCTCCCTCCCATGGGACCTGCAACCACTTAAAGCCGCCCTTCACAGCAACCACTCTACTCTCTCCTCTCTCTCACGGGCCATCACCGGCAGCTGCAGCTAATCACACGCAGCGGTTCATGTGCCCTTGCCTTCCGCATGCCTCGTGCTCCCTCCTCCCCCGATCTGCTCGGGACCATCCGCCCTGCACCCATCAACACCATCTTCTCCAGCACCAGCGCTGGCATCACCATCAGCAGCAGCAGCATCAGAATCACCAACAATATCAGCAGCAGAAGCATCACCATCAGCAGCATGCGATGCCATCTCCACACCCCACTGCGAGTGCCTGCCCATGCAGCTCACCTGGCCATCACAAGCAGCAGCTGCAGAGGGAGAAACGGACAGGGTGCGGCTGGGAGCAGCAGGGCTGGGAGGAGACTCGGAGGGAGCTGAAGCAGCAGCAGCAGCAGCAGAGGGGATGCATGAGGAGGGGGGGAAGGGAGAAAATGACGTTGGAGAGAAAGGGGAGGGGGAAAGGGGGAAGGAGGAGGGAGCGTTGCTAAGGGAGGTGCCGGCGGGGTATGCTGCCCACACGCCCCTGGTGCTCTGGGGTACGTCCCTAGCTGCTGCCGTGGGGGCTCTGGTGCTTGTTGCCGTGGCTGCTGCTGCTCCAACGCACACAGCAGGCACCAAGGCCAAATAGTTGAGGTGTGAAACTAGTGTTGAGGTGTCTGAACAAAGCTCAACTGCTCTAGTGCACACAGGAGGCACCAAGGCCAAGAGGAGTTAAGTCATGGAACAAGTGTAGCGGCGATTCATGTATACTTAACTGCTTCAGTGCACACTGGAGCTATCAAGGTCTGGAGATGAGGTGTGAAATGGCAGGAATGAGAGGATTGGACGAGCAAAGCATTCGCTGCTGTGGCTGTGGGGACGCTGGTGCTATTGTAGTTGCTGTGGCTGCTCCAATGCAGAGGGGAGGAACGAAGATGTGGCATGCAGTACTAGTCCTTCACGTGCTCAATTCATCATGTTCAGCAAAGAGCCGGATGCAGAGCAGGATACATTTGTGTCTTGTGGGTGCATGTGAAGAGTGAATGTGCCACACAGCGAGTACCAAGGCCGTTTTTGCCTTGATTGGACTGTTGATGCTCTTGAAATAAACCCTATGCTACCATAAAAACACGGGTTTTTCTTTAACAAGCATTTATTAACTTCTAACACAAGATGAGCAAGCATATAGCCTAACTGGAGTGTCAAGGTATGCTCGTGCCAACCAGGTAGAAGTGCACCCGGATCAGAACCATCCTTTCAGTGGCGCGCCGGGACCAGAGCCATCCCTTGGGGAGCGCACCGGACCCGAGCCATCCCTTTGGGAGCGCACCGGACCCGAGCCATCCCTCCGGAAGCGCACCGGACATGAGCCATCCCTTAGGGAGCGCACCGGACCCGAGCCATCCCTTTGGGAGCGCACCGGACCCGAGCCATCCCTCTGGGAGCGCTCCGGACCAGAGCCATCCCTCTGGGAGCGCACCGGACCAGAGCCATCCCTCTGGGAGCGCACCGGACCAGAGCCATCCCATTGGGAGTGCACCGGACCCGAGCCATCCCTTTGGAGCGTGCTAGGCCAGAGCCATCCCTTGGATGCCCACTGGGCTTGATGCCAACCTGAAGGAGCACACTGAAAGCACAACCACAGCTGAATGGCAGCAGATGATCACCCTTCCAACCCCCACCAATTCCCAACCCACTCTCCCGAACACCCTGACAAGCAGGGTGCAAAAAAGGGACCCCCATCATCCCACTTCCCCAAACTCCAACCATCTCCCCGGTGCTGCAATCTGCTCGAGGCTCTGCTCTTGTGTCCTCCACCTTCATCCCGCCGGAGTATTCCTTTGGTGCTTCTCAGCCTTTTTTTTTAACGTTGGCCTTTTTTTTTTAACCAGGAGGAAATCAGGTCCCCGTTCCCACGGGGATCCTCTGGGAGGTTCCCCAAGGAAGGTCCCCTTTCTCATGTGACTCGGGTGCAGTGTTGGTAGATCAGCTCAGCACGTAGGAAGTTGAAGCTTGCAGCGAGTCACAGCAGCGCTTACGGCCGCCACGGACGACGTGAGCTCGCAGCCAGCACCACCTTGGATGACGATCCAGCACGAACCTTCTTCACTGCAGCCGCGGGAATCGCAACACTTTTGTCGTCAAGCTGCTTCGCGCCATTTGAACTCCTTCTGATTCGCACCTGCCTCTCAGCTGCAGCAGGTCGTGGAATCAACGGCGTCCCCTCCACGCGGCTTTTCACGATCGATCTCTGGCCGCTTGGTTTGGGGATGCGAGACGGCACCAGGTGTGGCGTAGGTACTGAGCTTGTCGTTGCCTTCCCCAAGCCAGCTGCTACGGCCGTCAGGGAATCTTCAGTCGGCGGTAGCGATGATGCAGATTGCGACGTCACCGATTCCGACAACACTGACTCGCATGTCAATGGTTCTGACGTAGCTGGCTCCGAAATTTCCGGTTCTGACGTCATTGATGTAGAGGCGTGTCCTCTAGTTGGCAGGAACTAGGAATTGTTTCAAGCAGTAGAGCACACTCTTGGCTTTCCAAGGAGCCGTAGAACACGTAATTCGCCCAAGTATCGGCTGAGATACGGCTTTCAACGTGCTAGGTAGTGCTCTAAGATTGAAGGATAGAAAGTCTCTGGATTTTGTGTCGAGTTGAACTGTGTATAGAAAACTCTGATTTTCAGTATATCATGCATACAAAGCAATCACAATATATAGCTACTCAAAACATCGAGTCGCGCATGTAACATACGAGATGCATCGAGAACATTCGCGTAACAATTCGAAGGGGTGAAATTCGGCACCCGAATTTCACCGAACCGAATTCTTCCTTAGTCTCGATCCTTCTTGTGTTGCCATGTGGCACCAATTGAGTGGGTCTTCCGAAATCAACCCACACACTTCGTGAAACATGCAGCTCTCTCAAGCGGTGAGCACCGAAACACATTCGGTGGGTTGGGGGCATATCAATTGCCCCACCACCGTTTGCTTCTAACTCACGCGACCTCCAACAGTCATCGGTTCGGACATCATTGGTTCCGACGTCACAGCCGGTACATACGCCACCGGATCTGGAGATGACGAAGCGGATGCGGTCGGATCCCATGTCGGGGAGTCGTGCGTCAGCGATGCAGCAGCGTCGACCAGACATGCCTCACTGCGGCTGGCGTCGCCGACGCTCTCAGTGTTGGTGTCAGCGCAGGAGAGCACCGCGTCGCTGGCCTCACTGCTCCAGGGCGTCAGGCTGAGGCTGCTAACCTGGCGGAGTTTGCTCGCGTTGGAGGAGCTCCGAGGCTGCAGCGATGGTTGCGTCGGCTTGTTGCTATCGAGGCACTTCCAGAAGCTAAAAGCGTTGTTGAAGTACGACGGGTAGTCAGACTCTGAGGCCATAGTGCGGATTCTTCACGAGATCAGCAAACGTTGAGAGTTGATCTGTATGCTATAACTGTTAGTATGCGCAAGCTAGGATGATTGCATGAATGTTGAGTGTGCAGATTTGTAGGCACTGTCGAGTAGGGGAATGGAGGGGTTGGAGGCAGAAAGGGTCGCCTGGGATCTGGGCTTGTCAGGCTCGGGAGCGAGAATGGCGCGAGGTGTTCTCTAGACCCTGACCTGCCCAGCTTTGTGCTCATTTGCCCAAGCAAATCCCGTGGGGCTGCCCGAGTTTGTATGTTGGGGTCCAAGCCCACGACCATTTTGGGCTACTGCCCACAAGCATTTAGAAAACTGCCCGTTACCGCGCTACGCGACGACGGAGGCGGCGAAATTTGAGCGACAAACTCGGGGGAAGCCAGTCAACACCAATGGTTGACTACAAATAGCTTCTACATCCAAGTACCGTACTGAACCTCCCTTCAATTTGTTACCCCGAAAGCTTCGCCTTTGAGGCTTGGACCTGAACTTCGGTGTCAAACCTCTTTGCCTCGGCTACGCGCAAGCCGAAATCGTGTTTCGAGATGAACCAGCGCTGCTACACTTTTCGAGTTACTTCATTTAGTGTGGGTGATGTGATGCATGGAATGAGTCTCATTTCATCTCCTTGTAGAGATGCTTTCTTGCAACGATATACAGTACTTTATTGCATATCACTATGAGCGAATTAAAAATAGCAAACACCCTATCCTATTCCATATAACCTACGGTAACCAGAGTTTGAGCACCTCATCAAAGAGTGGGACACAATGACAAAACATGTTCGATAGTTTTACGGTAATAAATAACTTATGATCACTCATTGCCCCAACCAAACATATGCTTCTCAGACCATCTCCCTGCGGAAGGCACCACCTAAGCATGCCAGATCGATCGCAAGCAGGTAGGTAAGGTGAGGCTGCTCCGATTCTAGGCGTGTGTTGGAAGCTCCAACTCTCTCATTGTCCTCCACCCACTCTTCCTCTCATCCTCTTTGAAACACCTTCCCGACACCCCCTCTTCACCCCATCTCATTCCTTGTCAACCGCTCTAAACCCTCCTGTGTGTGAACCCCACCACCAGAGCAGTGATATCGCCAACATACCCCCCCCCCCCCCCCCCCGGGACCATTGACGGCCACCTCTCCTTTGCCAAGCACGGCAGCCCCTTCACAGCCAGTAACTCCCCTCAAGTCCCCATCTCCCATTCCCCCTCCATCTTTCTCTCTTTTCCCCATGACCCGTCTCCACTGTACAGTCTACACCTTCCTGTGGCAAACAGCTTCACACCTTCCGGAGTGTAAAACCCACGACCAGAGCAGTGATGTCATCAGCATACCCTGCCCCATCTCCTGTCAGACATTTTTCCTAACGAAGCCCAGCAGCTTCCCTCCCCCATCTGCCCCGCTTTACTTTCTCCTTCAGCCACTATACCTTCCTGTGTGTAAACCCCACGACAAGAGCAGTGATATCATCAACATACCCGGCCCCATCTCTTGTCAGCCATCTCTCCTTAGCCAAGGCCAGCAGCGCCTTCACTCCCGCCTCTATGCTCCCCGCCGCCACCACCACCCCTATCGCCTCGTCGTCCCCCACATACTCCCATAGGCCGTCCGACCCGAGCACCAGAAACGCGTCTGATTGGTCGAGACGACGCACGACCACCTGTGAGGGAGGGGAGGAGAGGGGAGCGGAGAAGCTTAGGGAGAGGACAGGGGGAGGCTTCAGGAAGGGTAAGAATGATATGGTGAGATGTGGGGTATGGGTTGCAGTGGGAAGGGGTTGGAGGAGGATAAGGTGGGGTAGGGGGCGGTAATGAGGATATGCACCCGCCGCCACCACCACCCCTATCGCCTCGTCGTCCCCCACATACTCCCATTACCCGTCCGACCCGAGAACCAGAAAGGCATCTGATTGGTCGAGACGACGCACGACCACCTGTGAGGGAGGTTAGGGGACGGGTCAGAGGGGGGATAAGGGGTAAGGAGGACATAACGCGAAGTAGAGTCTGGTTTCCAGAGAGAAGGGGTTGGCTGGAGAATAGGGTTGAGTTGAGGGGTGAAGGAAGGCATGATCCCCGCCGCCACCACCACCCCTATCGCCTCGTCGTCCCCCACGTACTCCCACATCCTGTCCGACCCGAGCACCAGGAAGGCGACTGATTGGTCACGACGACGCACGACCACCTGTGAGGGTGGGGGGGAGGAAAGGTGTAACGTGGGGAAAGGATGGAGGGAGGGTCGAAAGGGGTTAAGGAGGGCATGGTGAGATGTGGAGAATGGGTTGTAGTGGAAAGCGGGTTGGAGGATAGGGTTGAGTTGAAGGGGAAAGGAGGACATACACTGCGCCACCACCGCCACCCTGATCGCAACCACACAAAGGAGTGTGGGGGGAGACCATGACGGTGTGTTCCAGCTAATCGTCGTGGCGGCGACTCATAACCAGGCCCAGCCTGGGACCATAAATAGCATAACAGAATATACAGCTAATCCAGCACATGCATGAAATGCTTAGGGCATACCTCAGGTGTGGCGGGGACCCCAACAACGTGAGCTTGTTTACCTCCAGGGCTGCGACTCATGGCCAGGCACAGCATGGGACCATGCATAGTATGACAGCACAGCATGCTCAATTCGTGTGAGCAGAGACATGAAATGCATACCTCAGGAGTGGCGGAGACCCCAACGGTGTGCGCGAGTTTATCCCCAAGGCTGCGACTCATGGCCAGGCCGAGCATGGGACCCGTCTTCATCCACACCCGGAACGGCCCCACATCGTCCCCATTCTCGTCCACGTCCCTGCCACCACACACCCATGAGCCATTCGACATGGATGTAAGGAGGAATGAAATGTTATGTGTTTTTCACAATACAATGTGCCAAATGACACACCAGGCCCAGCATGGGGCCAGTCTTCATCCCCAATCGAAAGGGCCTCACGTCATCCCCATTCTCGTCCACATCCCTCTGCCATGCTCCACGTGCCATGAATGCAAGCACACACCAGGTTATTCTCCGCACCATGCACCTCTCATGCCCATTCTCCTTGCTGAGAGCACAACTCGGGGTATCACTCACTGCTGCACGCTGCCTTCGCTGGCCTCTATCCTCGCCCTCTCGTCCTCGTTGTTGGGCTTGTGGTCTGCAGACAACCGTACCGCCATCAGGTCGTCCCGCTCTGTGGATGAGAGGGAGAGGGGTTGGGTTGGGTAAGGAGGAGAAAAGGAGGGATCGGGCAAGGAGGAGGAGAAAAGGAGGGATTGGGCAAGGATGAGTTTCATAGCTGGTAGTGCATGCTGCCATGCTGTTGGTTGGTGGTCTGGTGCCACGTCAGCACCACTGCTGCCAGCTCGGCTGATGTGCTGGCAGTGGCAGTGCTGTGGTAAAATGATACAACTCCACGGGTAGTAGCATCAGCACACAATCGGGGAGGGGACTGTATTCTTCTGTTCTGAGGAGTCTAAAAGTTTGAGCCAATGTACAAGACCAGACAGACACATACACGCACTTCGGCTCGAGCCGTTGCTGTTACAGTACAGGTGGTTTGCTCGAATCAGTGCAGGCCACCTCGAATAGAAGTAGGTGCTTGAAACAGTCTCCAAGGGCCGCTTTCTGAGCAACTCTTGAAGACACGTGCTCTCTTCTCGTCCCACTCATCTCCATGCCTGCTGCTAGCTAGAGCATCCCTCAAGCCTCTTCTTCACGCCCACATATACCTGTCCTTCTCTCACCACCTCCGCCTCTTTTCTCACCACCTCCACCTCTTCTCTCACCACCTCCGCCTCTTTTCTCACCACCTCCACCTCTTCTCTCACCACCTCCGCCTCTTTTCTCACCACCTGCCCAGCTTTTCTCACCTCCTCACTCGCATCTCCGTGCCAGCAGAGCCCTCGAGTATCCTACCCGACCTACAACCAGCCGCTGCTTGAGTGTGTTTTACCCATTCTCACTTCCCCCCTGTTCACGTCTCCCTCCGGATCTCACCTCCACTCTCTCGTCTCCGCGCCAGCACAGCCCTCGAGTCCCCCACCCACGCCACAGCCAGCCGCTGCTTGTACAGGTGAGCTACCACCGCTGTGGTGCCGCTTATGTTGCAATTGAACGAGGCTGTAAGGGGTATAAAGTGGAGAGAGGCATATAAGGAGAACAGCTTGTCGAGGTTAGTGATCCCTTGGTTTCCTCCTCACCTCACCTCACCCTCTCTTGTGACTCCTTCACTTCTTTCCTTCACTCCCTGTTACCACTTCTCGTCCTCCTCTCACCCACACGCTTAGCGCCAATGCAACCTGTGTTACTAGAACGCACTGGAATTTGGCCCTAGCCTGAACTCAACTCGCACTCACACCAACTTCCCTTGAGGAGTGCTGCGTTGCATCCACACCACTTCCAGCTCTCAACCATGCTCTCAACAACACTTCTCACACCCCACCCTCACTCACTATCCTCTCTCCACTCTTCTCTCTCCCACACCCCACCCCCACTCGCTCTCCTCTCCTCTCCCCACACTCTCCCACTTGCCCCCCACTCACTCTCCTCAAGTGCTGCATCATGAACCGCCAGAAAGCCATCTGTTAGAGCCTTCTCGGGGTCCACGAGGAGATCTGAGCCGTCCATTAGAATATCTGGAAGCCGTTCCTGATGGCAGAGGGATGTGGTAGCAAGTGGTCAAAGTAAGATAAGAAGCGACGTGATGCAAAGGGATGTGTCGTACGGATGGTAAGGAAGGGTGGAGTGCCAAGGCATGGGGAAATGGCAGGGTTTCGTATTGGAGGTTGGCACGGATCTAGAGTTCGGCAAGATTTGGGAGGCAAACGAACGAGAGAGAAAAATTGGGTACAATGAGTTACAAACATTGTGAACTTTCGTTTTATTTGTATAGAGCAAGTTTACACGTGTATGTGCATGTAGAGGAATACTGCGGGTAAGCGGAGCTCATGAGCAAGGAGCGGAAAGGGAAATTTACCTTGATAAACTTGGAAACGTCATGTCCTTGTGGCCCATGGCCATCAAACACGCCAAAGATGAGCGATCTGCACAACCCAGGATATTTACATGAGAGGTGAAATAGGGGTGGCTGTTATTTGGCTTTCTCAGGAGATTCGGAGTTTCCTTTATTGTGGATCAGTACACGCATGCGTACTCGTTTATTCAAATTTGCAAGAAGCATTACCCGAGTACACTCACTTTTTGTCTTTCGTGCGCATGAAACAGTACGCGTCTTGGTTCGTCTTATGAAACCCGTCCTGCTGCCCCGCCGACGACATGCACGCCACGCGACACACCACGGGCTCGTCGGGAGCGGGCGACGACGACCGCGACGACGGCCGCGATGACGGTCGCGAGCCAGGCCGCGACGACGGCCGCGACGACGGCCGCGACGACGGCCGCGACGACGGCCGCGACGACGGCCGCGACGAACTCCGCGAGGAGCCTGCCGCGCGGGAACCGCTCGACGCGGGGGAAGCGGAGGCGGCGGAAGCGGCGGGGCCGCCAGCGGTGGGCGGTTTGCCGTCGGACGAGGTTGCGTTATTATCGCCGGTAGTTGCGGGACCCGCCGCGGCAGATGTGGCGGCGTCGGTTGTTGTGGCGGCTGCTGCTGCTGCTGCGAGCGACGCGGCGATCGCAGCAGCAGCAGCTGCAGCGGCATTATCAGAGGCGACTGCGTCTGACTCTACTAGCTCAGGCCGCCGCGGCGAGCCTGGCGCAGCACAATCTGCGGGCGCATCTGGTGTTACGGTTCCGCCTGCGCTGCTCACTCGGTCCGCGGCCTGGGCCGCAACTATCGGCTCCACCATTCCCGCCAGCCCGCTTCCGCCTGTCACTCTGCTTACCGCGTCCCCCTCTTCTGCGCTCCCCGCACCCTCCTCTGCCTCCTTACTCCCCGCACTCTGCGCAACACCTTCCGCCCCCCCATCCGCTGCCGTGACCTTTTCCGCCGTCGCTGCGGTCCCGATTCCCCCGGCTGCCCGGTCCGCGCTACAGTGTGTCTCGGAGTCACCGATAGACACGGTTTCCGCTACAGCGGAAGATGGCTCGCCGTTGATAAGAGCAGCGCACTGCGATTCGTTGAGCTGATCTGATTGGCTGACGGATTGTTCGGAGTCAGCTGCGGTCACCGTGTCTAGCGCATTTTGTGAGCCCTTGCTCTGCTTGTCTCCGTGGCATTGTGTCAGGTCGTCCCCCGCCTGCTTTCACGGTTCCGGTGCGGCAAAACGGAGCGAGGGCGTCAGAGCGAGTGAGATGAAGGGCGGGGAGAGTAGGAAAAAGGACGTCAGTCAACGAGCGAAACGGGACGAGGGGAACATGACTGAGGACGGTGCGAGGATATAATCATGATGTAACCGTAGTTGAGGCAGAAGGATGCGGAATGGTAGGGGGCATTGGAAGGCCACAATCATGTAGTAACGGTCATTTCGGCGTGATTACTGTACCTTGTTACAGGAACACGAAGCATCGAGCCGAGCTGGCTCGTCCGAAGCGGAAGACGCGGAAGCACTCATGCTACAACTGGAACCGCGAATGCGAGCGACTCCCGTCAACCACCACCAAGCTTATAAGCAAACCGTACTAGCCTATGGAAGTCTACGGCACAACGCGGGGAAAATATGGATAAATAACTGCTCGGAAACACTACAGAGTCATCGGAGCGCGGGATGTGATCTGTCGTGTCGAGCTCAAACTGAAGAAGGCTCCATGATTCGTTGTGTTGGAGGAGACAGTTGGGGGAGAGGTGTGCAGGACGGAATCAACAAGGCTCATTGTCATAGGCTGGCTGGTTTGGGTTGATGGGTTGATGATGAGCAACGAAGTGGCCACAGCAGGATTCTGGAGGGATGTTGTCAGACTTGAATGCGGTTGGCGGGACTGCTTACATATTAGGACGTGGCACATTCAGTGATATAATACGGTGCGCTCGAGCCTGGCTCAATGTCGAGGTGAAATGCTGCTCTGAAAAAAAAGCATACAGCCTGGCTGGAGCCTCTGGTTTGTGCTTGCGATCATTGAGTAGCGAAACTGAATCTTAGCGCGCAAAACATGGTCACCAGTGATCCCATCATCGCAACACGCGCTACTACGAAACACGCGAGTAGAAGGTGGCACATATTTGCGAGAGCGATATATATTGTTTTCGCACTAGATCGCGTTTGGGCTCCAATTCAAAAATTGGGATTCCCAATTTCCGAATGGAATTTTGGGTGACCCGAGATCCACTTTGAAGATCGAGCCTCAAACATATATATTTGAGCCCAATGTACCACAGCCTTAGTAGGGTTCGTAATGTTCCAGAAGCGGTTGGATGGGCTTTTGAACAAATTATATACTGTACAGTAACAACAATACAGTCAACCATGTGCCTGCAGAGGGAGGTATCTGCTGATGTGGCACCGACATCTAGGTTTCCTTTCAATATTCCCGGCCTCTGGATATAACCCCACGTCATCATCGTGCTGGAACTTTTCCACTCCCGAACCGAACCATGTTAACAGTGTGCAAGGTCAGTATACACGATGGTTCTATAACGAGGTGAATTTCAGCAGGTGGATCAAGTTTCCCGCTCCACTTCTTCACGTCCTGAAACTGCTGATCCAAACAACACACATAGATAGCCATCTAGTTTCCACTGTGTTTGAAGAAGCATCTAGCCATCTAGTTTCATGTGCAGTTTGAAGTAGCATCTACCCATCTTGTCTCGCTTTCACGGCAGTAACAATGGCAACGCCGTCTAAGATCTTTGTTGGCGGACTACCATGGCAAACCACGTCCAACGATTTGGTTGAGTACTTCCAACAGTATGGGAATATCATCGATGCAGGCTAGTGTCGTTCCAACAGCATGCCATCTTTCACCCCCCTCTCAAGTTTTACAACCCTTTGCCATGCAATGCAGTTGTCGTGAAAGATCAAGCGACAGGCAGGTCGAGAGGGTTCGGTTTTGTCACCTTTCTTGAGCCGTCTTCCGTAGCCAAGGCGGTGACAGCTCCTCCTCACTCCATCTTTGGACGGTAACGAACCGTCGCCGGTTTATTGTTCCCGTTTTCAACCAGTTGCTTCACTCACTACCGTTTCCAGGCTAGTGGAAGTCAAGGAGCCTGAACCGCGCGGAAAACAAGTCGTGTTGAGACCAGTAAGGACGGAACCAGTTAAAGATTGAATCTTTACCTGAAATATTCGAAGAATGCTGTCTAGGTTTGAGAGACAGGACTGAAAGAAACAGTTCATTGTGTGGACAGGAAAACGGCCCAAGAACGCGAAAGCTTTTTGTTGGAGGTCTTCCACCTTCCATGACTGACGAAGAGTTCACGTCCTACTTCGCTCGATTCGGAACCGTATGTTGAAGCACCTACATCTGTGCTCGTGAGTTCGTGCATGCAACGCAATGTGTCTCATGCGTGATGTCAGATTACAGAAATTCAAGTCCTTCGCGACGAAGATGAGAAGGCCCGATGCAGGGGATTTGGGTTTGTTACTTTCCAGGCAGAGCAGGCAGCCGAGGATGTGCTTCTTGTTGGCAAGTGAGTGTTACGCATGGTCGGGCTTTTGACATGTGATGAGATCCGCTGTCTATCACTTGAAGGACTCTCATTTCCCATGCAGAGTGCACGAGATTTGTGGGAAGATGGTGGAAGTGAAGAAGGCACAACCACGGAAGGACATGGCAAAACTAAATGGCAGATGGCTGTGAAATGCAATATCCAGCCATCTGTGAACGATGATCAACATCAACACAGCACCACTGGTATTGGCAAACATGAATGCAACCAATGCCTGCTGCTCTTCAAGCGCTGTTGTTACTCTCACAACAGACAGCACAGCTAACAACCAATCAATACCACATGTATTATTCGCAACTGCATACATAAATGTGGCCTGGCTACTGACAAAAAACTCTTTAATGCCTTAGCCACCTCATGAAGCTATGGTGCCGGTAATTCACTTCCCCTCAAAACCTGTAAGGCGAGCAAGTTCATCAAGGTCTTGTTCTCCTGGCAAAAGCTGCAATGCAAAACCAAGGGAGGATGCAAAGCAAGATGGAACAGTCTCAGATACATGACCAGAAAATTGGAAAGTAGGAGAACAAACAGATGGATGCCAGTGCATGCACAGCCACCTACCTAAAACCACAAACAGGTAACGCTGATCCATCAATCCGTACAAAACATTCAGACAATCAACTGTTGTCAGTAAAGGGAGCTCACCTGGCCATCAATGATCCATGTTGGGAAGCCTTCAATATTGGCGTCCTGGCACGTTTTAGCAAGCTTCACTCCTGCCCTGAAGCCCTCTGGATAGCACTCCACGTACGGAAGGTACTTGGAAGCTTCTGCTCCAAAAGCCTGCAACGCAAAGGTCACCGAGGTTAAGAGAAACCATGTACGCTGCTTGCTTGCACATCTGAGACATTCATCTTAACGAATACGAGTCAAATACAACCACCCACCTGCTTCTGCTCGTAGCAGTGCGAGCACCAGAAGGCGCCATACAGCTTCGCCCCAACATTTGACAGATGCTTGGCCAATTGCACGCGCACAGGTGTCGAAACAGTGGTGACCTCGGGCTCTAGAGCAGCAAGGTCAATCTCGGTGTCCCTGAGAATATGAACCATTTCACAACACAGAGACGACAAGGTAAAGATACAGGGGAAGTCTACTTTGAAGGGCAAGAGGATGCGAGAAGGGGAAAGTAGGTCAGGATCATTCGCCAGTTGCCAGAAAAATCAGAGTGGTGGTGTTTGTTTAAGATGTCGACAACACACTGAAAACGAAGGAATGAAAATGCAAACTGGAGCAGGCTGAAAAGAGACCCATGGAGGCCCTGCCACACTCAAAAGACCCACCGAGCATAGGCGGACCTGACATCAGCAAAGGAGAGGGAGAGAGCCACGGCGGTTGCAGTAACGAGGGCTAGCTGGGGCAGCAGAGCCTGCTGCAACTCCCGCCATGAGAAGGACTGTGGGTGGGGAGGTACAAGAAGGAGGGGAGGCACATGAGGGAGGGGAGGCACAGAAAGACCAGAAAGGAAGCGGCATAAGAGCTAAGGAAATGGAGAGTGCCACGAGGGCTAGCTGGGGCAGCAGCGCCTGCTGCAACTCCCGCCATGAGAAGGACTGGTGGGGGAAGGGGTTGAGGGGGGGGGGCACGGGAGGGAGGGGCGGCACAGGAGGGAGGGGAGGCACAGAAAGACCAGCAAGAAGGAGGCATGTGCACAAAGAAAAGGGAGAAAGTCACTGGCAGTTCAAGGATTTGCAACGACGACTTTCAACATGGATCTGCAATCGATGTGACACACACTTTTCACAAATCACGTGACCAATGGAGAATGACGGGTGAGGGTTTTGAAGAACAGTTAGAGGCTTACTTGAACAGCCCTAACCACGTTCTTAGTGAAAGACCCACCTTCACAGTGAGGGCAAACAGCAACGTGGAAAGAGCGGCAGAGGTGAAGCAATAAAGACAAAACGCGCCGTCCAGCTCGGTAGCGAGGATGAACATGAGATAGCCGCTGGTGGTGGCCATTGCGGCAGTAAGGGAGAGTAGCAGCCAGCGCGAGGCGGAGGAGAGAGTGGAGGCCTCAAGAGGGGTTTGGGGAGAGGAGGGCCGGGAGAGGTGGGTGAGGAGAGCGACGGTGGAGTAGGCAGCAAAGCCGAAGACTGGCAGAGGGATACCTGTGGGAAGGGGGGATTGGAAGGAATGGATGCATAGGAACGGAAGGTTTAGAAGGGATAAAGTGTGGTAAGTGATGGGTTGAAAGTGAAGATGAGGGGAAAGAAGAAAGAACTAATGAGGATGCCAAGAAGGTAAGAGTACTCCACTGTGACATCAGTGAAGGAGAACGGGGGTGAGTGTGAGGAGGAGGAGGGTGAGGATGGAGCAAGGCGGCAGATTCAACGTCTGGGAGGGGAGAGGAAGTCTAACAGTGAGAATGGGGGAAGCGAGGAGGAGGCGGGGATACGGCGGCAAGAAGCACGACTGAAAAAGGTATGGAGGTATGCGTGAGCTGTTTTACAGGAACATTGTACGCATAGACCCCGACCGACGTACCAAAGAGGGACGCGTATGGACTGTTGAGCACGTCAGTGCATGACTCGTTAATGGGACACGCCACCTGCCCTCCGGCCAGCTTCTCAAAAGAGAGGTACAACGTTTCCGCTGCTCCCACTAAAGACAGACCAAGTAACGGCACATAAGGCACACTGCTGCTGCTGCTGCTGCCGCTTGGTGTTGACGTGGTCAAGGAGGGAGACGAGGGAACGCTGACGTCATTGTCCCCTGACGCTGACTCCCTGTCGCTGGGAGCAGGAGGAGGCGATTCGCCGGTGGCTCGCACTGCGATCCGCGGATCACGGCGATAGGAGCGTGCAACGCGCTTTGACGAGGCTTGTGAGAGGCGAGGCTGCAGCGAAAAAGGAGGAACCGGGGTGAAGGGGGGGGGAAGGGGGGTGAAGAAGAGGGGAGTGTGGGGGAGAAAGAAGGGGGGGGGGGGGGGGAGGGAATGCGGGAGGGGAGAGGGAAAGAGAAGAAGGAACCGGGGGCGTGTAGGCGTAAGTGTAAGAGGGTAAAGTCCGAGGATGGATTAACGCGTAGGCGTGTGGGAGAGTAAAGGCCAGGGCAAATGAAAGCATGAGACCGAAGGCCTGCGGAAATGCTAGCAATGCAGGAGGAGGGGGCGGCGAGGAAGCATTGCGGCGTTCACGAGCCAATGTGGAGCACACGCGTGGGAAGTTAGTAACGCCGTATCTGTGAAAGGATGCTCAGGACAAATTACCAGGACTACAGACCACGAGGAACTAGACAAGTAAGAAGAAGAAAGATGGAAGAAGAGGAAGAAACGGCTTGAGAAATTTTGCGCGGCGTGCAGGAAACATCAAGCTTGCAACCGACGCGGATAGAGATGCTGCGATGAGCTCTTATCGAATTAACGTTAAAACAAATCGGCACTCTCGCGGCACCTACGGCGATCTCCGTTCATGCAGCGCAACCACGCTGAAACCGATGTCTATCCTACTGTACCGAGCCATCTAGCGGCTGGGCATATGCCATGATCCGTTGTGGCTGTTGGCCCGAAAAAATCCTTTTGAGTCGCTCACCAACGGCGCTAGAAGACTCAGGCTCCACTTAGCAGCCACGTCTGATCGGCGCGCAATAAACGGACAACCGGCCGCGAAGCGAACGGCGTCGACCGAAGCGGCGGCCATCGCCATTGCGTGGAATGAGGAAAATAGAAGCGACTACTGCTGGTGCAGAAGCATGATGGAGTTATCTAGAAAACAGGGTGAGGGGAGGGGAAGGGGGGGACTGGGAACACACTGGAAATCAATCCTGGGAAGCAGCTGGACGTGCCTTGAGGATCGACCCGAATTTTTAAGCCTGGTTCATCACGGTGGTACGTGATTCGTTTCAAGAGTTCGGCCAGGACCCAGTGCGCGTTTCATGAAATTTCATACACATGGTTGGGTGTTCCGATTTGGCTGCGCGTCCACAAAAGTTGTTTCAGACAAAAATCCTCTTCTCGCTTTTTTGTGAAAGAACAGTATATTCCGTGACATGATGGGGATGGAGCATACGAAGGCTTTGACCACGTCCTAGCCAGAGCCCGATCCGGTTCAAGATTGGGTCAGATGGGTCAGATCATTTGGAGTGTGACATCAGTCAGGGACCACATGACTTGGCCTTGGAAGTTCCATCGAACGATCATTCATCAACAAAATGATACCCAACCCCTTCCCCGGCACCGGCACGCATAACTCAGCATTTTATTCGGTAGAAATCCTAGTCCAGACACGACCTGTCCTCGCGCCAGCGAATAATTCTCGCAAAGTTGGCGCGTTCCCGTGGTCTTATTGATTTTCCAGGAAATCGCCATGGCTTCTGGCGACAAGCTTTCAGCCATCTCAAAGTTGAAGTCTGCAGAGCTGCTGGAGCTTATGAATGCTTACCTGCAGACCTCAGCAGGCGATGACCTGAAGGATAAGATTGGACTTGTTTATCAGTTCAACATCTCCCCCAAGGTCGGAACGAATCTACCTAGAGTTCGCGTGTGATTGCGATATTAGAATTCTAACGTTGTTCTGTTTTCGGGTACAGAAGATTGGGATTAACGAGGAGACGTTTACGGTGGATTTGAAGTCCAAGAAGGTCACGGCAGGTGAGCCATTGGCCATATGCTCCTCAAAGCTCTCACTTTTTCCCTTCCTGACGTCCGTTGTGTCGTTAATGCAGGCGTGTATGAAGGGAAACCTGACGCAATGTTCTCTTTCACTGATGCTGACTTTATTTCTGTCGCTACTGGCAAGTTAAATCCGCAAATGGCGTTCATCAGGTAAGTTTCAGCGGCTTCATCCTTGGTCAGTTTTGTCTCATTAGATGCATATGCTAAAGCCTGACGTTATTTTGCTCTTTGCTTGGTGGTGGATGCCAGAGGGAAGATGCGGATAAAGGGAAGTATGAAAGCTGCTCAAAAGTTCACTCCTGATATTTTTCCTAAGCCGGCAAAGCTCTAGCTCCTCCTTCATTTAACTCACAAAGCATCAAGCGTCTGGACTCTGGAGGTTTTTTCATCTCTTGGCTTTGCCGATGTGCCGTGTTTGTTGCTGCAGATGGAGCAACAGGGGCTGATTCGATTCCTGTGACCTTTCATGTAGAGTGGTTTTTTACAGGTGGATAACAGATACGGTACCAGTAGATGTCAAGTCGACTCATCTGTGTTGTACATTTATAACAGGGCCCAAATTATCAGGGTAAAATACCCTGTTTGCCCTGATGGGCGGCCTCTTTTTCCCAGTTACCCTTTTCAAAACAGGGTATCAAACTTGTTACCCTAGAGCAAACAGGCTACCAGTTTCGGTTTACACTGATAGCGATTTTGGTACCCTGGTGGTATCAGGGTACACTGTACATTACACTGATACCGAATCCTCTGTAGCGAGGTTTTTCCCTGCGATGCCGCAAAAGTTTGGGACGGCCCTGGGAGTCAGGGTAGAGCTGGCCTGAAACCCAGGGTGGACAAAAACCAATTTTGGGCCCTGATTTAGAAAGGTTTGTTTGATGGCATTCATCCATCAGTGTAGGTGTCTGTCACATAAGCAAGCTGTGGACATTCTATAAGAGTATTATTCGAGTCCGCTTTTCGAACACTCCACTTTGTTTATAGGAAAATAACATTGCTCTCCCTTCAGGAGTTCACTCCAGATAGGAAAGTGTAGTGTAGCCCACTAAGCTTGATTCTTTTCAGCAAGGTAATGGTCCAGCATGTCGTCCTCATCAATGTCTGCACACATCCACCCATTCCCACACATGCATGCACCAAGACACACACAGGAAGAAACAATTTTAAGCACATGTCAGCGAGCTGCTATAAACGTCCGGGCATGCACATGCACCCATCGACACACACAACGCCCCAAACTATGTGCACACACCGTGTACAATGTACCACATACTATACCATGTACGATGTACCAAGGAACATGGTATGCACCACATACCATGTACACACCCCATCCATGCACAGATACATGACTAGAAGCAGAGAGACATGCAAAACAACCAACTATCCAGTCAGCCTCCTCGATGTGCCTACCTGTCAACCTCTCCTCTCCCTTCACTAACCTCTCCTCTCTCTGCCATTCCACCTGTCCCACGCCTAACGCATACTTTCTTCCCCCATTCCACCTGCCCGATCCCCTCAAAACCCACCCCTCCCCCACCCTGACTCCACACCCTCCATCCTTCTAGCCATCTACATTGCCGAAACTGAAGTCCTCTTCCACCGCCATTGCACTGCAACCCTGAACCATAACCCCTCACCCTCTCACCCCTCCCTTCATCTCTCTCACCTTCGTCGAAATCATCATCATCAAAATCGATCTCCTCTTCCTCTTCCTCCTCCGCCTCCTCCTCATCCACCACAATTCCCTTGCTTGCTTTCTGCACGCACAAGCAAGGAACCCAAGGATGGTGGGAAGAAAGTGAGATTCGGCTAAAGCCCTTCTTACCTACACAACAACAAACACCAATCTCACCCGAACAGTAGCGGACACCGCCCTCACCAAACCAGAAATGAAGAATGCTCGCCTCACCTCCATGAATCACAAACCATGCTCACCTGCACGAACCACTGTCTGCCGGTAAGCCGCTTCTCCTTGGATGCTGCGAGTGCTGCATCTGACAGCAACCTGTTTAGGTGGCAGTGGGAGTTAAAGCGGGTGGAGAATTGTGAGGGGGGGACAGCGGCCACAAGTGGGTGCAAGGAGGGCAGCAGTCAAAGTAAAGAACGACTCTTTTTTTGCAGAATGACCCACATGCTCTTCTCGAGTTCCATCACTATCTCCAATGGCTGCTGTGAACTGCTGTTGCTTTCGACTGCTGCTGACTGCTGTTGACTGCAGTTGACCACAATCGACTGCACTGCATGTTGGTAACTGAAATTTTCTACGAATGGAAGCAGTTGACTGATTCTTGACTGTAATTGACTGCAATTGACTCTAACAGGAGGAGGTCTCACTTGGCCTTCTCCAGCGCAATCTCTGCCTCGAACCGATCGCGCCACTCCGTGAATGTCTCCACTGTCACCGGCAGCCCGTGCGGCTCTATCACCTGTGAAGGGGCAGTTGCAAGCAGGAGAGAAAAAAAGAGGGATAGAACCAGAGATTCAGTGAAGAAAAAAAAAAAAAAAAAAGGCTTCTGTGATTGTCTCCACTGTCACCGGCAGCTCGTGCGGCTCAATCACCTGACAAAGAGGCAGTCAGAAGCAGGGGAACAAGAGAGTGAGGGAGACGTTAACATGCAGGAATGTCGTCATTATAAAGGGAATGGCCTCTGTGAATGTCTTCTTTGTGACCAGCAGCCTGCGCGGCTCGATCAACTAGCGAAAGGGCAGACACAAGCAGGGGAGTGAGCAAGCTAGAGACACAGGCAGTCACAAGCAGGTGAACAAGAGAGAAAAATGCACAATCAAGATTCCGTCATTTCAAAGCAGTGGCTTCTGTGAATCTATTCAACATTCTCCAGCAGCCTGTGTGGCTCAATCACTCCAGCAGCCCGTGAACTCACCTCCTCCTTCACCTCCTCCTCTTCCTCCTCCTCCACTCTTCCGTACTTCTCTCTCAGCCACTCCTTGGCTGACGTGGCAAGAGTGTACATCATGGCCATCCCCAGGTTCTCCTCGGCCTGTGCGTGTGAATGCATGGAGGCAGAGGGCATTTTGTCATCATGACCATCCCAAGGTTCATCTCTCTCAGCCACTCCTTGGTTGACGTGGCGAGAGTGTACATCATGGCCATCCCAAAGTTCTCTCGGCCTGTGCGTGAGGAGGCATGGAGGCACCGGGGGATGGATAGAGCATGGATGGAGGCATGAAGGCACAGAGCATTTTAACATCATGGCCATGCCATGATGTCACAGGTTTGCCTCGGCCTGTCGTTGTGGAGGCATAACACATGGATTGACGCATAGAGGGATAGCGGCATGGATGGCATGGTGTGGGGCCATGGGGGCATGGGGGCGTGGGGGCATCATTGCAATGATGTCCAGGGGTACATATACATCACTGCAAGGAAAAAACATGAGAAGATATTGACAACACTGGCAAGATTTGGGATGCGAGAGGCATAAATGGGTAATGACACCATTGCCTCGCATTGAACGTCGTCATATCCAGTGTGAGAAGAAAGCCCTGCCCAGATTCCAGGCTCACAGGCCCGCTTCAACCAGGCAATAAGCAGAACAAGCCTTGACGAAAAAAGAAACACAAGGAAGAATTGAGTTACTGCAAGGTCAATGTACAAGGAATGACAAGACATGCCTTAACAATAGAAAACCCATGCATAATTATAGTTTATTTATTGCATAAATTGTAGTAGTGAGATGAAAACAAGTAGATTGTATATGAAACAAGGAAGCGGCAGGGCGTCAGATGCACTTCTGATTCCATCACACTCCCAGCACATGCCCCTCTTTGCACACACGCGACCACACACCGGTGATGCGACGCACAAAGGAGGCAATGTGCTTAAATCGAAGGGTTGCTTCGATGAGTGGGCTGCGGGAGATAAGGTCTTGGCCGATGCAAATGGATGCAGTGCGGTGGTGAGTGGTGAGAAGCACGACGAGAGTGGTGGTGATGGTATGGTGGTGGTGGTGATGATGATGATGATGGCTCGAGCCCATCCCTTTCTTTTTATCCATCATTCGCCCTTACAATACTTGGATAATAGCAAACATGGCTCAAAAGGCAGGTGGCAGAGGAGAAAATCAGTATGAAAAAGGCCCATAGGAACAAGATTGATGCAACACAAGGTCGACAGAAACAAAAGAGTATATACAGAAATCACTGTGTATGAAACATAACCATCCACGTAAGGACAGGGTTTAGGACACAATGATCCATACCTCAAACACGGAAAGCTTAGAACACAGAATAAAATAGTGACTCTACAGAGAGATCCATTGCTTTTAAAATAATAGAAACAGGAGGATTAGAGGGCCATCATGACCTGACCTCTTCAAAAGCGAATCTAATATCGCTGGGTCATTGCAGCAAGGTCACTGTACAATGAATGACATGGCACACCTTAATGAAAACCCACACTCAGTGACAAGTTCTTTAGTGCATAGATAGTAGTAGTGGTGAGGGAACAAGTAAGTAAGGGTGTCAGATGCATTTCTGATTCCATCACACTCCCAGCACATACCCCTCTTTGCACGCACGCGACCACACACCGGTGATGCGACGCACAAAGGAGGCAATGTGCTTAAATCGAAGGGCTGCTTCGATGAGTGGGCTGCGGGAGATGCGGTCTCGGCCGATGCAAATGGATGCAGTGCGGTGGTGAGTGGTGAGAAGCAGAACGAGAGTGGTGCTGATGGTACGATGGTGATGATGATACTACTACATGCAGATGGTTTGGCTCAAGCCGATCCCTCCTTTTTTTTTCCATCATTCGCCCTTTCAGAATTTGGGAAATAGCAAACATGACTCAAAACGCAGGTGGCATATGAACAACTTTGCAGGAGAAGGCCCATAGAAACAAGCCTTACGCAACCAAGGTCGGTTGAAACAAGTGCCGCGGAAACAATAAAGCAACTTATACCAAATCATATGAAACATAACCGTCAGTGTAATAACACAGAACGTAGAAAGAGCTAATGATCCATCCATACCTTAGCACCGCAAGCTTAGAACACAGAAAAAGAAGAAAAAGAAGACGGAGAAGAAGAAAAAACAGGAGGACCATACGGCCATGGCAATCTAACCTCTTCCTTGAGTTTGTTGCGAATCTCCTCAAGATCCACGGCTCTCACTCCTTGTAGGCTACACGTGGCACAGCATGCAACCCAGTTACCCCACACCATGCCATGCCATGCCATGCCATGCCATGCCATTCCATTCCATTCCACACACGCAAGAGGATCCATGAGCATGCTTGCAGAATAAGTTCGTCTATTAGCAACACTTGGGGGTTTCGTTTAAAAGAAATACTTCAATTGCGCCATCAGCACTTGAATGAAGCATCAGCAAAAAGACCACCTGGAATGAAGAGCCCAGCAGTAAAACCAACTGACATAGAACCACATTTGATTGAATCACCTTCGCAAACTGAGTAGCGGTGGCTCATCGGGGTAGGTGGGCGTGTGGGCGAAGTAGAGTGCCAGCCGCACTGCCAGGAAGGGGTGGGGGGGAGAAGGAGGGGAAAGAGGGTGAAGGTGGGGGGGAGGGGGTAGGGGGACGAGGAGGAAAGAGGGGAAAGAGGAGGTGATCTGAAAACAGAAAACGGGTTAGGAGCAGAGATCAATGACTGCAACATTCAGCCGACCCAGCCCTTGCTATACTGCATTGACTCAGATTCTTACACTCAGAGTAATACACATTCTTACATGGCTCATGGCACATGGAGAGTGGTACCTGGAAAAGGTGTTGTCTCTTCCTCGTCATCCCCCTGCTCACATCAGCACACACAAACACAATCCCTCCGTGTCAGAGAAGAGAAGAGCCACTTCATTGCTTGAGAGTCGACCCAAAAGGCAACACGCGCGCACAAGCATGACCATGACCATGACCATGACCATGACCATGACCATGACCATGACCATGACCATGACCATGACCATGACCATGACCATGACCATGACCATGACCATGACCATGACCATGACCATGACCATGACCATGACCATGACCATGACCATGACCATGACCATGACCATGACCATGACCATGACCATGACCATGACCATGACCATGACCATGACCATGACCATGACCATGACCATGACCATGACCATGACCATGACCATGACCATGACCATGACCATGACCATGACCATGACCATGACCATGACCATGACCATGACCCCATTCCACCATGTCAGAACTTCCAATGCTGGGATGGGAACATCATAGTCCATCACATCATTCAAATTGGCTGCATGCCACTGAACGACAGTGAGACCAAGGCCAGTCACATTGGATTGGAATCGATTTTGTAAACCATTTTGAATGGCAACATCGCATCACACCTTCACATGGTAAGACCAGCACACTCATGTGGCCATTTCCGTAGAGGAGACACCATGACACGGTGTTTTGATATCGTGCCATGGCACAGCATGGCATGACATGTCACCAACCATCACCATTACCTTAGGCAATGGGAGCATGGAGTGGCATAGCATGGCACGGGTGGACAAGTCTGCTCTTTTTTAAAATCTCATGGATCATCCCTTTTTAGAATTCTCAGTAACCACTTTTGATAGAAGTTTCAAAAACCAGCGCACCACATTACCTTGGGCGATATTGTGATGAGGTAGCATGGCTTATCCACTGGCATGCCCAGGCCTGATGTGTCGTCCACCCCTGCAGAGCACGCATGGGATGACCAAACAGGGATGGGGGGTGGTGGGAAGGAGTTACGAAGCTGGGGAAGGATCATGGGGAAGGAGCAGGGGGAAGGAAGGAGCATGGGGAAGGATCATGGGGAAGGATCATGAGGAAGGATCATGAGGAAGGATCATGGGGAAGGAGCATGGGGAAGGATCATGGGGAAGGATCATGGGGAAGGATCATGGGGAAGGAGCATGGGGAAGGAGCATGGGGAAGGAGCATGGGGAAGGAGCATGGGGAAGGAGCATGGGGAAGGACCATGGGGAAGGATCATGGGGAAGGAGCATGGGGAAGGATCATGGGGAAGGAGCATGGCATTGGGGCAGAGAGAGAGACTCACTTTCGAACTCGTCCATGAGAATCGCTTCTAGCGCCTCCACCTCCATCTGCTGCTCTCCCTCGTAGTCTGTGCGGGGGAGGGAAGGCGAAGCACAGAGCGCAGGAGATGGGAAGTTGGGAGAAGAAAAGGGGCGTTCATGCCTCTGTTGCTCCTCCAGCGCCTCCACCTCCATCTGCCGCTCTCCCTCGTAGTCTGTGGAGCCGGGGCATGGGGCAGAGAGAGGTGCGAGGGGAGGGACGGCAGGTGCAGTGTTATTGCCTCTGCCCCTCCCTCAACCTCCTGCTGCTGCTCGTGCTCATAGACTGCCAAGGGGGGAAAGGAGGGAGAGAGAGGGAGAGGGGGGAAGGGGAATGGACATACGTAAGAGTCAACGGTTGATGGAGGAGAGAATAAACGAGAAAGACGGTTGCCGGTGATGCAGGGCTGCTGCTAGTTGGCGTGGGCCAAGGAAAGGAAGGTACAGACGTGCGCTGCGCATCTCAGAGGCGCCAAGGAAAGTACAAGCTGTTCTCTGGCCCAGAAGGTAGCTTTTCAGACACCTCTAGGCTGTTCACACCGGAGCTTACCACTGTGACCTTCGGGGTCGACTCGAAGTCAATTCAGTCGGTTCATCGCCTCATAAGTCACCCTGACAAGTCAAACACAGCTGACCAGACACGACACCCTGGTCGGACCACAAATCTAAGCTGATCTAATCTCCATAAGCGAATCAAATTTGGAAGTGCACGTATCACCATCACCATCATCACCTGTCATTGTGGCGAGACCACGCTATGTGATGCCAGTGGGTTGAAAGCAATGGGAAGAGCGATGGTGTCGCTGCTGCTGCGACCCACAGGGCCTGCCTGCTCGCTCGCCTCTTGAGCCGCCTCAAAAGTCGTTAGTTGAGGATTCTCAAAACACGCCTGCTGCTGCGATCCACCACAGGGCCTGCCTGATTGCAATGCAGTGTGGAGAGGGGGGGAAAGGAGACACGGAAGAGGTGACTCCATAAGCGTGGGCAAGGCGTTTTGAGTGTCTCCGAACACGAATTGGGATATGATAATGCGGATGAAGTGTCAGCTGTTGATTTGGCTTAAATTGGGGCAGTCAATAGTGGATATATTCTCCTGACCCCGAAACTCGAAGTCTATAAGTGGGAGAAAGGCAGACGCAGTGGAAGGGTGAGACGGATGGGAGACGCAAGACGAGGGCGAGGCAAGGAGGGAGAGGAGGGCGAGGGGGGAAAGGAGGGTGGGGAGGGTGAGGAGGGTGAGGAAAGAAGGGTGAGGAAGGGGAGGGTGAGGAAGGGGAGGGTGAGGGGGGTGAGTATGGAGAGGAGAGTGCGGAGGGTGAGGAGGGTGGGGAGGGAGAGGGAATAGGTGAGGGAAGCGAGGAGGGGAGCGACGGCAGTAATGGAGGGACCGGAGGCGGGCAGGAAAAGGACGAGCGCGAGAGGGAACAGGAGCGCGAGAAACGACAGGAGCGCGAGAGGGGACAGGAGCGCGAGCCCGTGGGTGTGACAGTCCAAGTCTAGGAGAGTACGGAGGAATGAAAACAGTGAACCACGTAGGTAGATGACGCAGAGAGAACGCGGGGAACGAGGGAGAGATGGCAGCGAGAGAGAAGGGGGAAACGTGGCGACAAGAGAGAACGGGGGGGGGAGGGCGACGGTGAAACAGAGAGAGGGAACGGTGGACGGGGAACGATCGGAAAGGAGAGGGCGAAAAAAATCACGGTGTCGCATCTTCGCAATGGGGAGGCCGCTGCTAACCTGATCCCCCGTCACAAGCGGCCTCGATACCACGCTGCGGTCCAATGCGTGTTGAGAAGTCTAAAACCCGGAGTCGCGGTCGGGTGATCGGTGCCGACCTATTTTTTGCCCGCTTCGACCCAGTTAACCGTCGCGATCGGAACGTTACTCTAACGTGTAAACGCTGTCGCTTCGGCACAGGACCCCAGGGGACTCCTGCTGGATACTAGATTCCCGATGGGGGAGTGGCTATTCTCTGGTGGTGTTTTCCTTGCTGTACTGGGGATTGCCTTCCTCTGACAGTGCACAGCACCTTGCGAATGTGGTGCGGGTTGAACGAAAAGTCAGGTAACTTTGGCGAACAAGCGACACTCGCCCAACAATTTTGACACCCCACAAATTCGCGAGCCAGTTTCCAAACCACCTTCCAAGCCTTCAAACCTGCACACCAACATTATCAGAAGAGAAGGAATACGCAGTTAGATCCTCATATGCTCACCTTAGCGCAGCTTTCCCTAACTTCGTTCTACAAGTTAGTCTTCTCCACAGGTCACCTGCACAGGCCACAAGTCTTAGCAGCTGCTCTTTCGTTTCCCAGTTGAATATGGAACATTCGACGCTGGAACGAATTCGAGACAAAGCCAAAAGGAAGTTAAAGTGAGGGTCGTTCGATGTATTTGTAAGCTCCCTGCTGTGTTGATAGCTTTGCACATCTGAGCACCCCCTCTTCCCGCAGGTTGCTCCATAATCTCAAACCTTCTACATCTCTGCCGTCAGAGGTTGGTTTCACGTGCTACACGTGTTTAGAACACACGTGTGACATGCGCTTATGCTCTCTTCTTAGAATGTCAGCTTGACAACGCCTTCTCCATCTTGTGGGCCCGTATCCAAGAAAAAACAAAAGTTTTGAAGTCCACTACCCGCGAATCTGGCACCCACGCCGCCTGCAGTCTGCAAGTAATCTGTTTGCTGTTCTGTCTTTCGCAGCACCGCTTACTCCTTCTAACCTTTTCCTGGATCCCCAGAGAAGTCACGGAAGTGAGAACGTGCATGGCTGAAAAGACAAAACGGTTAACTGCGTCTCAGACACTGACTCGCCATCCGAGCGATCGTTCGAAATCCAATATGCTGGACATTCAGGTTGGATTCGCTCGTGCTTTTCGTACTATGTTTCCAAAAGTATGTCTCACTTGCTCGTGTACCAGAGGATGAAGGTTCCTGTTGGTCTTGTGGAAATGGAACCTCCGACAAGCTTGATTGGTCAAAAGACGTCGGTGCTTATTGGTAAGAGTCTCCTAGGTTATAACATTGCTAAGGGACCTGTGAGAGACATATTGACTTCGACCTTTGACAGATCGTGCTCCTTACAAGCCAACGCCAACTTCAGACGAGCTTGGTTCACTTGTCCTTCCTGGTTCCACAAAACTTCTTAGGGCGCTTTTTCTTCCTGCTGTTTACAATGTGGATGCTGGGTGTCAGAGAGCCGGACTAGCCATCCTGTTGGATGAGCCGCTAACCACGAGTGACGGGTGAGTTGAGTTGAGTGTTGTCGTTCCAACCAAACTCAAATCATACTGACCTCAAATACCGCTGTGTGGAATGCAGAAACTGGTTTGTTGGTATGAATGAGATGCTACATTTTCCTGGCACAAGCAAAAGTGAACACACAGCTGAAGTTTTGTCTGACATTAGAACTCAAGCTGTTTCTTTGGATACACATGCTTTACGCATGGAAACTGATGACCAAGACCACACTGAAGTGATGGAGACTGGAGCTTGTAAAGCATATACAAGGCAAGTTTCTGAGTTTCGTTTAGCTTGCTCCAGCAAAGAGCACATGAAAGCAGAAGTAGCACTCTGGCTGCGTGCAGATGGTGGATTACTGGAACTTATCTAAGAATAGCTACAGAACTTCAGGTGTCAGTTGTTTGATGAAATATCTGCAAGAATTGCTCCATAGCACCATCATCAAGCTTTGCTTGAACATCGCTTAAATCTTAAAACTCTGTCACTTCGCTAATACTCAGAGGGAGATGAGGGTAAGGTGGGAGTGGAGGGCGAGGGAGAGGAGGGTGGTGAGGGTGAGGGAGAGGAGGGTGGTGAGGGTGAGGAGGGAGTGGAGGGAGAAGAGGGCGAGGGAGAGGAGGGAGAGGAAGGGGATGGAGCGGAGGGTGGGGAAGGGGAGGGAGAGGAGGGTAGGCAGGGAGAGGGAATAGGTCAGGGAAGCGAGGAGGGGAGGGACGGGGGTGAGTGATGAAAGGAAGGGTGGGAGGGACGGGAAAGGGAAGGGAGGATGCAAAAACATTGCTGAGCCAGGCGAGAGTCGAACCCGAGTCTGCGGGTGCTATTCTACCTCTTTATTAGCAGTATAGTAAATGTAAAATGGATACAAGGCAAATCCAGAGACCTAGTCTAACGAAAGATATGCAAGTTAGACCTATATTGAGGCCTACAGATAGGCCTCTGTGACGTCTCAATGGTCCTCTCCCAAGTAAGCAAAGTCAGCCGCCGATAGAGAAGTCACCTCGGGTGGTGTGTGGTTGACGCCCTCGGTAAAACGAATTTGTGCACGTCGACAAACAGTCCGGCCTTGCTCACGCTGGTGGACCAGAGAAATACGCTTGTAGAAGTTGGTCTCAAAGAGCTGGGGAAGGGAATCTGTGGCACCACTCAGGTCGCGAAGTTGTGACGCCCCTTTACGGCTGCATTGGCGAAGGAAGTCGTTGAATGAAGTGCCGAAGCAACCGAAAGTTTCGATGACGAAGGGAAAGAGTTCGACGTCTGGAGGGTCCCGGGGTACTGAAGCATAGTGGGTTGTCTTCTCACTTTCACGAGTGGCTGCTGCTGATCTGATTACAGTAGCTGCGTTGGAATGCGGAAATCCGTTTTGAGGATCGGCAACAGAAACATCCAAGGCCCAGGTGGTACCAGAGCTGACGTCGCGGCACGTGATGTCTGTTCGGTGGCCAGGCAGGAGATGCTGGTCTTCCATTTGCACAGAGAACCCCAGCTCCAAGGCAATGCGATGAACTTCACGCTTGATTGCGTCGTGCACCTTGGTAGGCTCGTTGTTGCTAGGACAGCGGAGGACGTGAGAAGGGATGGAAGCATCGGTGAACGGGGAGTTGCAGGTGCAAGTGTGTGACGATGAAAGGTGAGGGAGAGGAAGGCCTAGGCGGATAGCTGCTGCAATGCGCCACTCGGTCTCTGAGAGCTGCATGTGCGGGGAGGATGGAGCCACAGTGAGCCAGTCACCTGCATGCGGGCCCTGCAAAGAGGTTAGGCAAGCAAGGCGAAGCGGGGACGTTACTGTGGCTCGAACCTTCTCCAGCAGATACTCTTCGAGGTGTTGGGAGAGGTGAGTAAAGAGTTTAGGAGGGTAGCCCGATTGAAGCACAGACCATGATGGAAAGCGATCACGAATGTCTTGGGGATGCATGGACATGGTAGATGAGATTGAAGGGTCGAGGTGGTTAATGGAGTCTGTGGTAATGTAAGGGCGGAAAAGAGGAGCAACGTCGGTGATGAAGTGGGTGGATAAGATCAAAGCTGTCTGCGCACAGCTGCAGAGGTAACTAAGAGGGGCGATGGATGCAGAGCTGCGAATGCCGAAGCCACCCAAGCGGATAGGGAGCGAGGCTTGGAGGCGGGCCGATGTGGACTATTCAGAGGTGGGATTCCAGTACTCGGAGCCCAGGAGCTGAGAGAAGTGGCTGAAAATGGTGCTGTCCTATGAGGAGAGTAGCTCTTGGATTTCGGGAAAAGGTGCGACAGTTCGGAGGAGGAAAGAAGGTCGGGCAGTGATGCATAAGGAAAGGATCCGTGAGGCAATCCATGGGTCATGCAGTTGATGGAGTAAGGGGAGGGAGGAAGTGAAAGAATCGAGTTTGTCACGAGCTGTAGAGATGATGTACTGTCGGAGCCGGTAGGAACGCCAGCAACAGTGAGACCGTTTGCAGCGATGGAAATACTAGGGGGCGGAATGCAGTGTTCAGGCAAGTCCATAGGGGCCCATAGAGAGCACTTAGAGGGTTGGAAAATAAGGCCGAGAGAGAGAAGGCAGGTGGTAAGTGTCAGAATCCCAACCACTAGACCATTGGGATAAAAGGGCTTGTTAAGTAGCGGGTCAGAGTGCGCCCATAACCCCCCAGGCGAACGCGCCTGTAGGATCAATCGGGCATCCACAGTGCAGATCTACTGACACCCCCCCACCCTGGGAGGCCCAGGACTGAGCACAGCGGCAACGGCCTACATGTGCATACACCGGGATTCGAACCCGAGACCTTTCTGACACCATGTCAGAATCCCAGTCACTAGACCATTGGGATAGAAGGGCTTGTTAAGTAGCGGGTCAGTGTTATAGTCACAGTAGGCTCCAATGTGCCTAAAACGAAAGATAGAGTGCACAGTCGGATTTCTGCACAGCGGCTTCAAACGTTCATAGCGTTCTGGTCACAGCTTCAAATGACTTGATTCAACTTGGATCTGGAGCGTCTTATTGTCGCCTACAATAGGCAGTTTAGATCGCACGATTTCACCAAGTATTGACGACACAGCATCAGTTTGAACGAATGGCACTATTGCAGCCACTACAGTCTTAGAACACAAGATAGGAAGAGTTAGGAAGAGTTACGAGTTGGGAATGACTCCCAGCTCCTACAAACCCCAAGAGCCGAGGTACAGTGATGTGGAACAGTGCCACACTGTCCCCAACCACGAAGGGTCTCGAAACTACCCTTCACTAGGGCCTACACCAAGTGAAATGTTACACTACACAAAGTAATGTAACTATCTTCAATATCTTGAGGTGTACCCTTTTGGCAAGCTTCGAAATCACTTGAGGCTTGACACCAAGGCTCGGGCTCTTCATCACAAACTCATCCTTGAGTTCTTGATGGGTCTGCTGCACACACCTGCGACACGCCGAACGTTCGACACAGGACAAAATAGAAACCGCGCACGACAAAATAGAAACCGCGCGCGAGACACAAACGACCGCGTAACACGCGTCTAGCGATAACTCGCTATTGACTCGACACACACACTCGACATCATGACTCAACATTCACACACAATTATAAGCATGAAATATATATTATCCCATGCCCTCATACCATTCCATACACACACACATTCACGCACACGGACAACAAGCCGAGTGCAAACCGTAGGGTTGCACCAACAAACTCCCCCTCGGATTGTTGGCCTTAGGATATGTTGCTCTCTCAGTTCAGAGCCATCCCAGCCAGCTTGCAACACTTCCAATGCTGCTGCTCCACCAGCCTCTTGGTCATCATGTCAGCCGGCTGCCCCGTGGTCTTCACGTAGCGCAACTCAACTTCACCCGCGGTTACCATGCTCCTCGTCCAATGCCACTTCACCCTCATGTGCTTCGTGAGTCCATGCAACACAGGGTTCTTAGCAAGAGCAATGGCACCCTGGCTGTCACGGTACAGTGGGGTAGGTCCTTGCTGCTCCTCCCCCAATTCAGCCAACAAACGCCGCTGCCACACAATCTCCCGTACGGCACGGAAAAGTGCCATGTACTCGGACTCCACCGAGCTCAAAGCTTGGTCAACCTGCTTCTTGCTCTCCCAAGCAGTTGGGCCTCCACCAACACAGCATATGAAGCCTCCCACACTTGTCATGTCCTCTGGTTCTGATGCATATGAAGCATCCGAGTAGGCGGTGAGGAACAAACGCCCGGGTTCAACACCATCCGCGCCCTTTTGGCGCCTTTGTGCCGCCGCCGAGTATTGCAGCCCAACGGTCGGTGTTTGGCCAAGATACTTGGCCACCCTCATTCCAGCTGCTACCTGCTCCTCATTAGGGCATTGCACAACCCTAGCCAGCTGCCCGGTAGCAAACGCGACGTCCGGTCGGGTGTTTACCGCCGCATACATGAGGCTGCCCACCAACGAGTGAAATCGGCGCCTCTCCTCTTCACCAACGCTCTCCTCCTCTGGTCCCTTCACACACTTGAACCCAGAGGGAAAGGGTGTAGCCACATGGCCTTCACTCTGCCCAAAGTTGGCAGCCAATGCCTCCAGGTACTTTCGTTGATGCACCCGCATGCACCGCTTCTCCACATCTCGTTCGATGTGGAGCCCAAGGTAGAAGCTCACGTCACCAAGGGCCTTGCACTTGAACTTGTCTTGAAGCTTCAGCATCACCTCCTTCACAAGGTCAGAAGAGGGTGAGAAAATGAGGATGTCATCCACATAAACCACCATGAAACTCCTCTGCTCCCCCTCGCCAAGCATGAACAAGGAGTGATCGGCCGTTGAGGGAGTGAAGCCGATCCCCTCCAACACTTCGCGCAGCTTCATGTACCATTGCCTAGGGGCCTGCTTCAGCCCATAGAGGGCCTTCTTCAGCTTCCACACTCTGCCACTACCATCATCAAACCCCTCTGGCTGCGCCATAAAAATCTCCTCCTCAAGGATGCCGTTAAGGAATGCCGTTACGATGTCCATTTGCTTTACTACCCATCCTTTGATGGCGGCTCCCGCGAATAGGGTTCGCAGCGTCGTCGGCTTCACCACAGGGGCAAACAGCTCCTTGAAGTCCACCTTCTCCTTCTGCTGGTACCCCTTGGCTACAAGCCTAGACTTGTAGCGCTCGATCTTGCCGTCGGCATCCGACTTGATTTTGAAGAGCCACTTGGACGTTATCGCCGTACGCCCCTCCGGTAGCTCCACCAACTCAAACGTGTCATTCTCCTCGATGCTCTTCAGCTCACTCTCCATGGACTTCTTCCACTCCTCAGCATCACTACTCTCCAAAGCCTCCTTGAGAGTTGCTGGTTCTCCCGGCATCTCCACCGGAGAGAAGAACGCGAAGGCACACTCCTCGTAGTCACTCTCCTCGTCGTCTCCGACCATCATTGCCGCTCCGGCCAGGGCTGTCTTGCCCTGCTTTCCCGGCGCATCATAGGTCAGCCTATTAGGGGGTTGAACTCTCCTCTTCCCCCTTCCTTCCTCCTCAGCTGCAGGGACTTGAAGGCCTTGGCGTTGCTGCGGTGTGGCTCGAATCCGTGGAGCACTCGTAGTACGGGAAGGGAGTGACGGTGCACGCTCGCTCACTTGCTGCACCTCCTCCTCTTCTTCCTCTGCATCATTGGCCTCCTCTCCCCCATTCACAAGGGAGGATTGCCTTGTGGTTGTGCTGCCGCTGCTCAGCTCCAAAGGCAGCTCCACATGCTCCAAACCGGAACTCTTCACCTCCCCAAACCGCACGCCTATCTTCGCCTCATTCTCCGCCTTCCAATCCTTGTACATGAAGTTCTCCATGAACTTGCAGTCCCTGCTCACCAAGAACTTCTTGGTGAATGGGTCCCAAAGAAGCCATCCCTTGCTGTTTTGAGCCATGCCCAAGTGCACGGCCCACACCGCCTTGGCACCAAGCTTGTTGTGCCGAAGATGCTTAGGCACGAGCGCCATGCACATGCACCCGAACACCCGAAGCATATCCACCTTTGGCTTCCTTCCTAGCCACTCCACATAGGGCACCCATTTGTCTGCTCCCACATGAGTCAAGGCTCTGTTCTTGGCCACACACGCGCTCCGCACCGCATCAGGCCAGAAATAGTCGGGTAGCCCGGCTTCAATGAGCAACCCGCGTGCCGCCTCCGTGATTGTGCGGTTCGCTCGCTCGGCGATGCCGTTCATTGCAGGGGAGTATGGCATGGTGAGGGAGTGCCAAATACCATTCTTCTTCAGCCACAACCCAAAATCCTTGCTCAGGAACTCTCCCCCTCGATCGGTGTGGATTGACTTGACTAGACGGTCTTGTTGCCGCTCCACCATCGGGAACCAATCCGTCTTCAACGTTTCAGCCACGTCGCTCTTCTTGGCCAGCACATACACCCAAGTCATGCGGGTGTAGACGTCGACAATGGTGAGAAAATACTCAGCTCCAGCAGCTCCAAGCTTCAGGGGGCCCACCACGTCCATCACCACCTCATCAAGCGGTGCCTTTGCCGTTGCCTCCGAACTAGGGAACGGAAACCGGGTGAACTTGGCTTGAATGCACGTCGGGCAGCCAAGCACCTCATCGGGCTCCCCCTTCACACGTATGCCAGCAACCATCTCATTCTTCACTAGCTGCTGCAAGATGGGCAGGGCCACATGCCCCATGCGCCGATGCAAGGTGAGCCAATCACACTCCCCCGTAGCCGAAGTTGGATTGGAGAATGCCGCGCTCGCAATAGCGCCCCAC